AATAGATTGGGAAATGGATGTGCACCAGAGCTCCGGGAGCACTGAGAAGTAAGAGATGGATTTCAATCCGGGTTGGAAGGAGCGAGAGGCCGCAAACCCAAGTGAGAGACCCACAAGAGGCAGGCGCAGGGTGGCACCTGCCAGCACCGCATACTGGCACGGACACACCCAAAAATGGAATTAAGGAGAATAATTCCATTGACAACAGGATCAAGGAAAGGGAAATGTTAGAGTTAAATTTAACAAAAGAACCGAAAAGCTCCATGACACTCTACAAAAAAGACACCTGCACTCGAATGTTCATAGCAGCACATTCTAATCGCAAGGCTGTGAAACAGCCCAAGTGCCCATCAATCCAAGAAACGGATTAATAAAATGTGGTATATGTATACCATGGAGTACTATTCAGCTCTAAAAACGACGGTGATATAGCACCATCTTATATTTTCCTGGTTACAGCTGGAACCCACACTACTAAGTGAAGTATCCCAAGAATGAAAAACAAGCCACCACGTGCATCACCAGCAAACTGGTATTAACTGAGCAGCACCTAAGTGGACACCATAGCCTACAGTAATAGGGCATTGGGCAGGTGTGAGGGGGGAGGGGGCGGTATACACACATAATGAGTGAGATGCGCACCATCTGGGGGATGGTCATGCTGGAAACTCAGACTTTGGGGGGAGAGGGAAAGGGCATTTTTTTGAAACCCTAAAATCTGTACCCCCATAATATGCGAAATAAAAAAAAAATTACAAAGAGGTACAAAACTGGACTCTGTAAATTGCGAATCAGGCGGGTAGAAAAAACGACAGCCTGGGCCAGACATAGCAACACCCTGTCTCTAAAAAACAAAAAGTTTTTTAAAAAAATTAAGCCTGCACCAGTGGCACATGCTTTAGCCCCAGCCACTAAGAGGTGAGGCAGGAGGATCGCTTTGAGCCAGGACGTTGCGAGGCCTGGCAGGAGTTATGATTGCTCCACTGCACTGCATGCGCTAGAATGACAGAGCGAGACCCTATGCCTTAAACATTAAAAAATATAATTTTTAAATTTATAAAAAACACATAGAGGTGAAATGGCGGCCTTCCAGGACCAGGTATTATCCGGAAAGTATCTAACAACATCATAAGCCACACGGAATTCCCACCTGTACCCAAACACGATCAGACCGAACACTGCACACAAACCCAGCGTCTTATACCTCTGCAAGACACCCCCAGGGACAGGGCTGGGTGTTCCCGCAGGACCGTCCCGCGGACCTGCACACATAGCCCTGGGAAACCGTTAGCAGTTAGCTGATTTTTTTTTTTTTTAATAGATTGGGAAATGGATGTGCACCAGAGCTCCGGGAGCTACTGAGAAGTAAGAGATGGGATTTCAATCTGGGTTGGAAGGAGCGAGAGGCCGCAAACCCAAAGTGAGAGACCCACAAAGAGGCAGGGTGGCACCTGCCAGCACGCACACTGGACACGGACACACCCAAAAATGGAATTAAGAGAATAATTCCATTGACAACAGGATCAAGGAAAAGGAAATGTTTAGAGTTAAATTTAACAAAAGAACCCAAAAGCTCCAATGACACTCTACAAAAAAGACACCTGCACTCGAATGTTTATAGCAGCACAATTCATAATCGCAAGGCTGTGGAAACAGCCCAAGTGCCCATCAATCCAAGAATGGATTAATAAAATGTGGTATATGTATACCACGGAGTACTATTCAGCTCTAAGAAACGACGGTGATATAGCACATCTTATATTTTCTTGGTTACAGCTGGAACCCATACTACTAAATGAAGTATCCCAAGAATGGAAAAACAAGCACCACATGCACTCACCAGCAAACTGGTATTAACTGAGCAGCACCTAAGTGGACACATAGGCACTACAGTAATAGGGTATTGGGCTGGTGGGAGGGGGAGGGGGCGGATATACACACACACAATGAGTGAGATGTGCACCATCTGGGGGATGGTCATGCTGGAAACTCAGACTTTTGGGGGGGAGAGGGGAAAGGGCATTTTTTGAAACCTTAAAATCTGTACCCCCATAATATGCCGAAATAAAAAAAAAATTAAGAAAAGAGGTACAAAACTTGGACTCTGAGAATTGCGAATCACTGGTAGAAGGAAACACAGCCTGGGCAACATAGCAACACCCTGTCTCTAAAAAAAAGAAAAAGTTTTTTAAAAAAATTAGCCTGCACAGCGGCACATGCCTTTAGTCCCAGCCACTAAGAAGGCTGAGGCTTGAGCCCAGGAGTTGGAGGCTGCAGTGAGTTATGATTGCTCCACTGCACTCGCCTAGAATGACAGAGCAAGACCCTATCTCTAAAATTAAAAAAAATATTAATTTTTAAATTTATAAAAAGACACATAGAGGTGGAAAGGCGGTCCTTCCAGGACCAGTATTAATCCGGAAAGTGATCTAACAATCAATAAGCCACACGGAATTCCCACCGGTACCCCAAACACGATCAGGACCGAACACTCACACACAAACCTACGTCTTTACCTCGGCAAGCCCAGCACCCGGGCCTCGCGCAAGAGCTTGATCGATTTCAGATTCCCCCGTTCAAAAGGCGCGAGAGACATGATGGAAACAGGATAGAATATCCTTAACCAGCCTGCCTAGGGATTTGACAGCTCGGGGCCCCATAGCGCCTGATCAAGCGAGATCTGATCTTAAGGACCGAGACAGGGAAGTTGAGCTTCACGGAAGGGGAAGGCTGGGCGATGCACAGCTAAACAGAAAGGGTCAGAGAGGACGGGACCGCATTTGACGCAGGTTCAAGTTCCAACTCTGCCCCTTAGTAGCTGTGTGGCCCTGGGCAAACCACATTAGAGCGAGCTTCTCGCTGGCAAAATCAAGATGACGCCGTCACTCCACGATGCTAAGATGTAGCCAAAGCACAGTGGGCCGGCGCGTTTAACACCCACTTTGGGATGGGAAAGGAAGAAAAAAAAGAGTCTGGACGGAGCAGATTCCTTTGGCTGCGGATTGTAACGTACAGATGCCTCCATTTCACACACGCTAAAATACACACAGAGGAAAGGGGGCTGCAAATGGAAGCGCGTGTCCATTGCTGCTTTACAGGGTCCCCGAAAAGGTGAAATGAGATGGTTTGTGTGCACTGGAGACATTCAGCAGGTGCCCATGTAATGCTGGTGAGAGCCTGTCATGAACGGGATTGTGCCCCCTCTAAGAATCATACATTGAAACCCTAACCTTCCATGTGACTGTAATTGGGAGCTAGGGTCTTTAAGGAGGTGACTGAGGTTCGACAAGGTTGTACACGTGGGGCCATAAGCCAATAGGACTCTAGTCTAACAGGATACACTTAATGCACTTATAACTGGAAAAGACAGCAGATTTTTTTTTTTTTTGAGACAGAGAGTTTCGCTTTGTTGCCCAGGCTAGAGTGCCAAGGCCTCAGCCCGCTCACAGCAACCTCAAACTCCTGGGCTCAAGGGATCCTCCTGCCTCAGCCTCCCGAGTAGCTGGGACTACAGGCATGCGCCACCATGCCCGGCTCATTTTTTTTCATATGCATTAGTTGGCCAAATAATTTCTTTCTATTTATAGTAGAGACGGGGATCTCGCTCTTGCTCAGGCTGGTTTCGAACTCCTGACCTCAGCAATCTGTTCCGCCTCGGCCTCCAGAGTGCTAGGATTACAGGGTGAGCACCGCACCCGGCCAACAGCAGATGATCTCTCTCTCTCTCTCCTCTCCTCTCTCCTCCCCCTCCCTCCCTCTCTCTCTCTCTCTCTCTCTCCCCCTCCCCACCCCCTCTCCTCCATGCACACACAGAGGCACAGAGGAAAGGCCATGTGAGCACCCAGCAAGAAGGTGGCTGTTTGCAAGCCAGGAAAAGAGCCCTCACCAGGAACCAACCCTGGCAGCACCTTGATCTTGGACTTCCAGCCTCCAGAACGGTGAGAAACTAAATTTCTCTTGTTTAAGCCACCCAGTCTGTGGGATTCTGTTCCAGCACCCCAGCCGGCTAACACAGAGCCCACGGGCAGGGCGGGGCTCGGGGACAGGAAATGGCCGTCAGGACTAGCAGGTAGCACTTCCAGGCTGAGCATGCTGAGCAAAGTCGGAACTAACGAGGAGAAGGCCAAGTCGCTGTCTCCGCACCAAGGGGCCTGCTCCGGGGAGACCGGGGCTGGCCTGGGAGCAGAGGCCCGGCTGGGGAGGGGCGGGATGAGGTAAGGAAACTTCTGCGCACTTGGAGGGACTCAATGGGCCCCCCCCATGGCAAATCTCCTTCCTCCCTCTGAAGCCACAGAGCCGTGGCAAGGAGAAAGTGAGGTCACCAAGCAGGACCAGGGAGGTGGGGAGAGCGGACACTTCCCCTGGGCTCTCCCACCAACCACTGGGGACCCCCCCACCCAGGACCCTGAGGGCAGGTCACGGGAGGAGCAGCACCTTCAGTCGCTTGGCCTCTGGGCACTCCGAGTCCATCCAGTCTGCGGCCACCTCCCCCATCAGACTCTCGCCTTTGGCCATGCTCCTGTTGGGACGGTGGGAAGCAGGGATGTCAGAGCGGGCGCTGGAGGTGCCCCGCGCGGAAAGAGGATTTGGTGTGGGGTCAGGGCACAGGTGGTAGAGGTGGGGTCGGGGGTCTAGAGCCGGGATCAGGGGTCTTGGGTCAGAAGCCAGAGGGGGCAGAGTCAAGGCACGGAGAAAGAAATGGGACGTGGGAAGTAAGTCGGGGGACCCCCAGGGACGTGGGAAGTAAGTTGGGGGACCCCCAGGGACCAGGGGGTCAGAGGACGGAGGGAGGGAGGACGGAATCTGCAGCCAGGGTGAAGCTGGGATCCCAGGGCAGAGCCGGGTCAAGCTGGGGCCCAGGGCTCCCGGGACCCCATAGCCGGGAACAGGGGTGAGCGGGCAGGGTTCTCACTTCATGCCCAGCGCATCTTGGCCCACGGGCTCCCGCCGGCCCTTGTGGCCCGCGGCCACGTCCTTGTGCAGCGCGAAGCCCTCGGGGAACCAGAGGGTGCTGTGCTCGCGCTTGCGCCGGGCCACCATGACGCCCAGGACCAGGATGACCAGCAGGAAGACGGCACCTGCGGCCAGCAGCGGCAGCAGCGGCACGCTGGGCTCCGGGGGCTCCAGCGGCTCCCCTGCGGGCGGGAAGCGGAGGGCCCGGCTTCAGGCACCCGGGCACAAAGGGCACCCGGGCACAAAGCCAGGTTTCAGGGGGCGGGGCTTCAGATGCGGGGGCGGGGCTTAGGTCGTGGGCAGGGCTTTAGCCACAGAAGGGCGGGCAGAGGGTGGGGCTTTGACCACCACGAGGGCGTGGCTTCAGTCAAGGGGGCGTGGCTTCGGTTACGGGGTGGGGCCTCTGTCGGGGGCGGGGCTTTAGCCACAGAATGGCTGGCAGAAGCTGGGGCTTAAACCATGGGCAGGGCTCCAGCCACTGGGGCACAAAGCAAGATTTCAGGGGGTGGGGCTTCGACCACGGGGGCGGGGCTTTGGTCACAGGGTGGGGCTTCGGTCGTGGGCGGGGTTTAGCCACAGAATGGCTGGCAGAGGGTGGAGCGTCAACCATCGCCGGGCTCCAGCCACGGGGGCACAAGGCAAGGTTTCAGGGGGTGGGGCTTCGGCCACGGGGTGGGGCTTTGGTCGTGGACGGGGCTTTAGCCACAGAAGGGCGGGCAGAGGGTGGGGCTTCGATCATGGACGGGGCTCCAGCGACAAGGGCACAAGGCAAGGCTTCAGGGGGAGGGGCTTTGATCGCGGGGGCGGGGCTTCAGCAACGGGGCGGGGCTTCAACCACGGAGGCGGGGCCTCAACGCAGCGGATTCGAGTGGGGAGGCGAGGAGGATTTAACCATGGGAAAGGGCTTCAGCCCACACCCTCCTGCCCACCCATCCTCCAGTGCCCGCCGCTGCGCCCGCATCACCCTCGGGGCCCGGCGGCACCTCGCACGTCGCGCAGCGGGTACGGGAAGTCCAGGCGCTCCACTGCCGACAGCGCGCCCAGGTAGTCGGCCGCGCTTTGGGCGTCGGGGAAGCAGTGGTCATTCTCGGGGGACTGCAGGCAGAGCCGGTTGTCAATCTCCAGCATCACCACAGAGCTGCGAGGAGGACAGCGGGGAGGGACCAGGGGCCTCAGCGGCAGCCTGGTGCACCCCCTGGACCGACACCCACCCTCGCTGCCCAGCACCTGGCTCGGAAGAGCCATCTCCGCGCACCACGTCGCCATGGCCCGCCTGGCTCCCAGCTGGCGTCCGACCCCAAGGCACCCCCAAAACCTGCCTTGCTGTGGCCAGCAGTGTGCCCCAAGCTATGAATCCGACCGTTGGTGTTTCTACACCGTCAACATCTCAGTAGCCACCCTCCCCCATCCCAGTGGAAGCTCTTGGAGCGGCGCTTCACTGGGCAGCCCGTTCACCTCCCAGCTGCTATGACAGCGAGGGCTGCTCTTTCTCCCGACCCCCCACAGTGGGTGCCGGAAGTCAAGGCGCTCAGCCAAACGGGGACCGCCCCCTTGGGAGGCGACGTTCCCTAGGGCAGCCCCCCTAGGGCAGCCCGCAGCAAGGGACTGGCTGAGACGCAAGGCACACACGGCGGGAACCGACCCTGAGGTGCTGCTGCACGCCTGGGCTCCCCGTGGGATCCGACCTGGGCCAGGCTCCAGCTGGGGCTACCGCCGTCCTTAGTTGCCCCCCACCCCGTCCCTCACGGCTCCTTTTCTCTTCAGAGCACCCCTCCAACACATCACATGAGTCTGAACCCCCACCCCCACCCCCACCCCTGCCTCCAGGAACCCAACTTGAGACCCTCACTGTCTCCAAATTCCTTCCTTCATTGGGACCCCAGTATCACCGTGCCCTGATTCAATTCCTGTGTCTCTGGCTGCTGCTTTTCTTCTTTTCTTTTTTCTTTCTTTCTTTTTCTTTCTCTCTCTCTCTCTCTTCTTTCTTTCTTCTTTCTCTCTTTCTCTCTTTTTTTCTTATTTTTTTTAACTGAAGAAGTGTACAAACCTGGGTATCTTTCTCTCTTTTCTGTCTTTCTTTCTTTCTTTTCTTTCTCTCTCTCTCTCTTTCTTTCTTTTCTTTTCTTTCTTTCTTAGAGGCAGGGTCTCGTGCTGGTGCCTGGGCTATACTGCAGTGGTGTCATCATAGCTCCTTGCAGCCTCAAACTCCTGGGCTCAAGCGATCCTCCTGCCTCTTTCCTGTTTCTGTCTTCAGCCCCCAGCTACCACCTTTGGGGGGGGGTGTCTTCCCAATGCCTCCACATCCCTGAGACCCTGGAAGCCCCAAAGTGACCCTGGTTTTTCACCCTATGTCCCCGTTATTCCGGCAGCCCAGCCGGGGACTGGTACCTAGCCACCCTCCTCCATCTCCCCACCCCCACCCTCCCCCCACCCATCTCTGAAGCCCAGCCCTCCTCTCTGGGGCAGGCTCCCACCCTCTCAGGACTTCTCTTCCTCCTCAACAATGGCCCCACGGATCTTGTGGCCTTCAGGGCCTCTGCCAGGCCTCCAGCGGGATAATCCTCCATTTCCCATTTCTTCTGGGGCTGGGGGGCAGGGGAGCTGTTGTTTTTGTTGTTGTTTTGTTATTTGTTTTTTTAGAGATGGGGATGTCGCTGTGTTGCCCAGGCTAGATTCCTGGGCTCAAGAAGAATCAAGTGATCCTCCCACCTGAGCCTCCCAAGTAGCTGGGACTACAGGCTGGAGCGGCCGCCACGCCCGGCTCTATTCTCTATTTCTTCAAAAACAAACAAACCTTACACAGGCCTGTAACCACTGCCAAACCACCTGCCTCTCCGGAAGGAGGCAGTGCTAGACCTGGCAATTCTGCCTCCCCATGCCCATCCCCCCACTAGGGGACACTTGCTCCCGCATTTTGGGTGGTCACGACTAGGGGGCGGTGCCACTGACATCTAGCGGGCAAATGCGTTAAGGGTACAAGACTACATCAATGGGCCCCCGCGAGGTGGCTCACGCCTGTCATCCTGGCACTCTGGGAGGCTGAGACGCGAGGATCGCTCAAGGTCAGGAGTTCGAAACCAACCTGAGCAAGAGCCAGACCCCGTCTCTACTATAAATAGAAAGAAATTAATTGGCCAACTAAAAATATATAGAAAAAAAAAATGAGCCGGGCATGGTGGCGCATGCATGCCTGTAGTCCCAGCTACTCGGGAGGCTGAGGCAGGAGGATCGCTTGAGCCCAGGAGTCTCACGTTGCTGTGAGCGAGGCTGACGCCACGGCACTCACTCTAGCCCTGGCAACAGAGTGAGACTCTGTCTCAAAAAGAAAAACAAGACTGCGTCAACGGTGCGTCGCTCACCCGCGTCCCCACCGCCGCCCCGTGGCCCCCGGGCTCCCCCAGGCGCAGTCACTCACCCGATCACCTCCGGGGCCAGCTCGCGCCGGCTCCGCGGCTCGGAGTCGGGGCTGGGCCGGTGGTAAGGGAAGACCATGGCCTGGCCGCGCGCGTCCAGGCGGAAGCGCAGCGAGGTGCGCAGGATGGCGCTGAGCCGCTGCAGGAAGTCGGCGCCGGAGCGCAGCAGCTCCTCGGGCGGCAGCAGCACGGTGAGCACCAGCACGCCGCGCGCCAGCAGCGCGGGCACGGCGCCCGCGCAGTCCAGCCCGTCCCAGCCGCACTCCTCCGTGTTGCAGCCCTGGTCGCAGCGGCCGTCGGCGAAGTGGTCGGCGCAGTACTTCTCGTACACCGGGCTGGGGGCAGGGGGGCGCAGGGTCAGGGGGGTCCCGCGCCCTTCCCACACCCCCGCCCCGGGCCCCGCACACACAGCAGAGAGCAGGAGAGACTCCAGCAAGGCCCGCGATAGGGGGCCTAGGGGGCCGGCCGTATGCACCGGCGTTTGTCAGGCTTTCTGCAACTCCGGTCGTTTACTGGCTATTAATAAATCAATAATATTAACTAGCCAGGCGCGGTGGCTCACACCTGTAATCCTAGCACTGTGGGAGGCCGAGGCGGGAGGATCGTTTGAGCTCAGGAGTTCGAAACCAGCCTGAGCAAGAGCGAGACCCCGTCTCTACTATAAAATAAAAAGAAATCCCATTGGCCAGCCATAATCATCATACTATGAAAACTAACTTTAGCCGGGCATGTGGTGGCTGCTGTATCCCGCAGACTCGCGGACGGCTGAGGCAGGATGGATCCGCTTGAGCCAGGAGTTGAGTTGCTGGGAGGAGGCCTGACGCCGGGCACTCACTCTAGCCCGGCCACAAAGTGACTCGCGGTGGTCCTCAAAAAAAACAGACAATTCATAGCTGGACCGAAAGCAAATAGGGAGGGACAAACGCAGTGCCTAGGTAGACAGAAAAACAGAAAGGCAGGGCGCATGGAAGAGGAGACAGAGGGACAGAGGGACGCACCGGCTCCCTGGCAGAGAGAGAGAGGCAGGGCACGTGGGAGCTGCAGACGGGGTGCACGGAGGGAGGGGTGCACGGAGGGAGCCGCAGACGCAGTGCAAGGAGGGAGGGGTGCACGGAGGGAGCCACAGACGGGGTGCACAGAGGGAAGGGTGCACGGAGGGAGGGGTGCACGGAGGGAGCCGCAGACGCAGTGCAAGGAGGGAGGGGTGCACGGAGGGAGCCACAGACGGGGTGCACAGAGGGAGGGGTGCACGGAGGGAGGGGTGCACGGAGGGAGCCACAGACGGGATGCACAGAAGGAGGGGTGCACGGAGGGAGCCACAGACAGGGTGCACAGAGGGAGGGGTGTACAGAGGGAGCCACAGACGGGGTGCACGGAGGGAGGGGTGCACGGAGGGAGCCACAGACGGGGTGCACGGAGGGAGGGGTGCACGGAGGGAGCCACAGACGGGGTGCACAGAGGGAGGGGTGCAGGGAGAGAGCCGCAGACGCGGTGCACGGAGGGAAGGATGCACGGAGGGAGGGGTGCACGGAGGGAGCAGCAGACGGGGTGCACGGAGGGAGGGGTGTACAGAGGGAGCCGCAGACGGGGTGCACGGAGCAACCGACGGCCCAAGCGAACGGGACACACGGACGGACAGCCCGAGGCCGGGCGGACGGACGGGCAGACCGGCGCGGAAGGCCGCACGCACGCAGGCACGCACGGCGGGCGGGCTCACTTGCAGGCGCGCTCGCGGCCGCCGGCGCGGCAGTCGAAGTTGTCGTAGAGGCAGGCGGGCGAGCTGCAGGCCGGGTCGCAGCGGCTGTTGTTGAAGAGGCGCCAGCACTGCAGCGCCTCGCACTGCCGCCAGGGGTCGCCCACGCTCAGCGAGCAGTCGCCGCCGTCCCAGCCGCAGCCCGGGCTGTTGCACTCGCGGTCGCAGCGCCGGTCGCCGCGCTGTGCTGGCAGGCGGCCGCGGGGCACCCGCGGCTCTCGGACCTCGGGCCGCCGCGCGGGCGCTCGCAGCCGCGGCCGGCCCACAGCCCGGCGCGCACGCACACGGCAAGAAGGGCGCGAGCGGCGCGGGGCGGCAGGTGCCCCCGTGGAGGCAGGGGCGGCGGCGCCAGCCTGGCCGTTGGCCACCCCCGGCGGCGACCCGCGGGCGCCACGGCAGGAGGGCGCGGGCGACCCTGGGGGGCAGGCGCAGCGCGGCCCGCGGGCCGTCTGCTGGCAGGGGACGCCCGCCGGGCACTGCAGCTCCCGGCAGGAGCGCGCCACCCGCTCGCAGCGCGGACCCCAGAACGGCTGGGGGGTCGGTGGGGGGGGCACGGGCAAGAGATGGGGGGGAGGGGCGGGGAGGGAACGAGACGGAAAAGTGCGGAAGAGGAGCGAGGGTGGAGAGGAGAGAGAGGGAAGAGTGAGGGGTCAAGGCTTGGGAAGGTTGAGTCCCCAACCTCCCCAAGTCCCGCTCCACCTCTCCCGCTTCCAAAGGAGGCCCCACCTGGCGGAGAAGCCCCGCCTTCCCCGGGAGGCCACGCCCCCAAATGCCAAACTGGGCCTCTTTCCCCTCAAACATCAGAGTAATTTCCGCATTTCCCAGGAACCCTTTCCCCTCTAAAGCCACACCCCCCCACCCCACCCCCAGGCCGCGTGCCCACTCCTCCCCTACAGGGCACCACCCATACCTACCTGGACACAGTGGCAGGCAAAGGTCAGCCCACCCCCAGGGCCTGGGCTGGGACGGCACTGGCCTCCGTGCTGGCATGGTTGGGACTCGCAGGGAGACAGGGCGGCCTGACAGCGGGGACCTGCCCGAGCAGGAGCAGGTGGATCAATCCCGTGGGAGATGGGCAGGCAGGGTCCCCAGGCCAGCCCCCTCTCCCGGGCTTACCTGTGAAGCCAGCACGGCAGAGGCAGCGGAAACCCCCACCTGGGTCCTGCAGGCAGTCCCGGGTGTGTGCCGCGTGGCAGGCACCTGCGCGACACTCATTGATGTCTGCCTCGCAGCGCAAACCGGTGTATCCGGGGGGACAAGTGCAGCGGAAGCCGCCCACCAGGTCCACGCAGGTGCCGTTGTGTAGACACCGGGGGCCGGAGTCCAGGGCTGGGCCTGGGCCACAGTCATCCTCATTGATCTCACAGAGCACGCCTGGGGACGAGGAGGGCACAGTGGTCACCAGGGGTGAAGATTCAGGATCCCAACCGGCCTCCCAACCCTGGCCCTGGCATACCCAGCGTCCCAGGGGGGCAGGAGCAGAGATATCGAGCCACGAGGTCAATGCAGGAGCCGCCGTGCTGGCAGGGCTGGGAGGCACACTCGTCCACATCCTCCTCACAGTCATCCCCCGTGTAGCCAGCCGGACACTTCAGCAGGGCGAGGGAGGGACCCGATCAGCCCAGAGGGACGCAGACGCACCTGGCCCCACCCCGTGAAGACACAGAGAAACCCAGCACGAAAGGCCACACACAGACACCTGACACACACAGAGATGCCCCGCGTGCAGGACACATGCACCCAGACACACGGAGTGCCGAGGGACACGCGCAGGCCAACACGCAGGAAAAACACCCAGGTACCCCCCCCACGACACACGCGACCAGGGACGTGCACTCAGACGCACACAGAGACCACGCAGATATGCCCAGGAAATGACAGAAGACAGAGGCACACCGGGACAGACACAAACACCCCAGATCTACCCAAAGGGACACCCATGCAGATATACCCAGAGTCACAAAAGCAAAAACCCGGCCGCGTCTAGAGAAACACAGACAAACCCGAGCACGGCGAGCTCCTCTTCCCTCCCCCGGGGCGCGGGCACCCTCTTACCTCGCACACGTAGCCCCCCATGTAGCCACGGCAGGTGCCCCCGTGCCGGCAGGGCTGGGCCAGGCAGGGGTCCACCTCCTGCTCACAGCGGCTGCCGGTGCGGCCCTCTGGGCACGCGCAGTAGTGGGAGCTGTCCTGGTCCACGCACTGCCCGCCCGCCTGACACAGCTGGTCCGGCCGCACCCCTGCAAAGAGGACAGTGGCGTCAGGAAAACAGGCAGCCCCAGACCCCTTTCTGCCCGCGTCGCACACAGCATCGCCCACCGTCCCTGCTGGCATCAGTCCCAGGGGCTCGCCCCACGCTCCGCCGGCTCGACACGCATGCCCCAAGCTGGCGGAGTCCGGGTCACCCGACACACACACACACGCCTTTGATGCCCGCACCGGCTCAGGCGTCGCAGGCACCCCTCCAGCCGCCTCACGGTGACAATCACACACGCCGTCCCGGCCGGTTGTCACACGGCCACACACACCCAGCCACCCACCCCGCCGCGCCCGTGTGCTCGGTGGGCACCGCCATGCAGCTCGCGCCAGCAGGGGGTACGTGCACGCCGCCCCTCCCGGAGCCCCTCACACCGGGCCGTGCGACACCCCCCTGCACGCCGCCTCACCGATTTGGGCTGCGGCCTCCCTGCAGGGCAGGCGCCGGACATCGCAGAGGCGGCCGCTCCATCCCGGAGGGCAAAGGCAGTAGGCGCCGGTCTGCACGCAGTGACCGCCGTTCTGGCAGGTCGCGCTGCGGCACCAGTCCACCAGCGTCTGGAGGGGAAGCCCTCGGAGTCAGCGCACTCGGTCCCGAGCGGGCCCCCACCCCCACCCCAGAGCAGCCCTCCAGGCTCCTCCCCCAGAGCCCCAGCGGCTCCGCCCACCTGGCACTGGGCGCCCGCGAAGCCCTCGGGGCAGGCGCAGCGGAAGCCAGGGTGGGCGGCGCTGCAGACGCCCCCGTGCAGGCAGGGCCGCGACAGGCAGGGGTCGGCCTCGTACTGGCAGTGGGCGCCGGTGTAGCCGGGGCGGCACAGGCAGCTGAACGCGTTCACGCCGTCCACGCAGGTCCCGCCGTTGAAGCAGGAGCTGGGGTGGGGAGGGGGCGCAGAGTAGAGGGGGAGGGTGGGTCAGGCCCCGCCCCCTCGCAGGCCCCGCCCTAGCTGTCCCTGGTTGGTCCTAGTAGCCTTGGGGACCTCCCACTCGCTGACCCTTGCGCCCAGGTACCGCAGCACCAAGGTGGGAGCCGAGTGCAGGCTCCGCCCCCTCTGCAGTGACTTCCAAGCCCCATCTTGTCATCACTGTCCAGAAGTGGGTGCCTTCCCTTGTCCCCCCTACTCCTTCCCAGGCCCCATCCCGATAGAGGCCCGCCCACCTGGGGCTGCAGTCCGGCAGGTCCCGCTCGCAGTGGAAGCCACCGTAGCCCGGCGGGCAGGTGCAGGCGAAGGAGGCCACGTGGTCGGTGCACGTGCCCGGGCCGCAGGGGCTGCTAAGACACTCGTCCACGTCGCGGGCGCAGCGTGGGCCAGCGAAACCAGGGAGGCAGGAGCACGAGAAGGAGCCCACGCCGTCCTGACACGAGCCGCCGTTCAGGCAGGGGTCTGCGAGCAGGAGGAAGGTGGTCTGGTCACCTACCTTGCGCCCATCAGCCCAGCCTGACTCAGCTATGCCTTGCATAGAGCGGAACTCAGGAGGAAACCAAGTTCAATTGGGAGGGCACACGTATAGTCGCAGGGATCGAATTCTGTCCTCCTCTGTGGCCTTATCCCCTCCCTTACGTGGAAACCTCAGCTACGCGGAAGAAGAGTATTGGAAGAACGAAAAGATTCCTTTGAGCTGCCAAGCAGATGCTGCTAGTTGTGCCTCGTCTAATTCCTGGGCCACGCACAGACCTGTGCAAGTGACCACGAGCCACAGGTGGTTCTTGAGCCCTGGAAATCGTGACTGAATTGAGGCTGGGCACGGTGGCACATGCCTGTGGTCCTAGCTGCTAGGAAGGCTGAGGCAGGAGGATCACCTGAGCCCAGGAGTTAGAGGCTGCAGTGAGCTATGATGGCAACACTCCAACCTAGGTGACAAAGCCAAACCCCATCTCTAAAGAAATGACAAAATAGCCGGGCGAGGTGGCTCAACGCTTTGTCTTGTATTTTGTTGTGTTGACTGAACGGGCAGATTGTCATGTGTTTTTTTTTGTTCAGCCTGAGCTTAATGTTTGTGTTATATGGTTTAATTTGCACTAATTAAATTCTTGTTCCGTTTTTCTCCATTTATGTGCTATTTTCATGCCTGCAGTCCAGCTATTCGGAGGCTGCAGGCAGTGAGGATCCGGCTGATTTGCCCAGGAGTCTTTGAGGTGCTGTGAGCTAGGCTGATGCCACGGCACTCACTCTAGCTTGGGCAACAAAGCAAGACTCTGTCTCAAAAAAAAAAAGAAAAAAGAAAAGAAAACGCAGTGCTGGCACATAGTTCAAGCTTGGGGAACGTGTCCCCTAGAGCAGCACCCCCCCAAGAGCTCCCTGCACTTACTGGGGTCACAGTCGTCGATGTCCTGGTCGCAGAAAGGGCCGGTGTATCCCCCACGGCAGGTACAGCTGAAGCTCCCCGCCAGGTTGGTACAGGTACCATGGGAGCCACAGGGTGAGGGGCCGGCACACTCGTCCACGTCCTGCTGGCATCGTGGGCCTGGGGGTGAGGAACAAGGTAACGCCAGGGTTAGAGGGTGCGCGGCAGGGTCTGAGGGACCTAGGATCCAAAAGAGCCCGTAGACCAACACATGCAGAAGCGGGAATAAGCCATGCTGTCCTTTGCTTCTGGGCATTTTGGGTGTGCTGTTCCAGGACTTCCTCCTCCCCGTGTGGGAGGGGGGTGAATGCGTGCTCTAAGGACTGCTCCTCCAGGAAGTTGTCCCCAAACCCTCAGCCTCAGTCCTAGCATGCACGGCCCCACTTGGGTCCCTTCCTCTCCCCCAGAGCTGGCCCACATGGGCTACAAGTGTCCGTGTCCAGCTCTGTCCTTTCCCAGGAGGGAAGCTCCTCTCAAAGGCAGAGCTGGGGGGTGGGGGTCAGCCCCTCTCTGGGTCCCCAGCACCACCCAGTATGGGACAGGGAACAAAATAGGCGGGAAGGAAGGAGGAGGCGGAAGAAGCAGCCGGCGTACCTTGCCAGCCCGGGGGGCAGGAGCAGACCGCCAGCTGCCCGGGGGCGGACTCACAGTGGCCCCCATGCTCACAGGGGTTCGGGGTACACGAGGACAGCAGCTCACACTGACGTCCTGTGGGGAGAGCAGGCAGAGTGAGGCAGCCTTGAGGGACCCCCCCCATTCCCATCTCCCTCTGGGGTCCCCACCTCCCAAACTCTTGGGGACAAGGAGGAAAAGTAAAGAGCAGAGTGGAAAGAAAGGAAAAGGACACGAGTGCGGGGGGCAGGGGGGCCTGGGGCGGGAAGGCGGGGCACACACACCCTGGACGCCAGGGGGACAGGCGCAGCGGAAGCCCATCCCATCGCTGGTGCAGGTGCCGCCGGCGCGGCAGGGCTGGGACTGGCAGGCGTCTCGGGCCAGGCCCTGGCTGCAGCGGGGGCCGCTCCAGCCAGGCTCGCACACGCAGCGGAACCTGGCGGGGGAGGCAGTCAGGGCTGGCAGGTGGGCCAGGGAAGGGGACACGGTGTCGGAGGTTGAGGAGGGGCCTCACCCGCCGGGCGCGTCGTGGCAGACGCCGTGGCTGCAGGGCTCGCGGGCACAGGGGTGGCTCGGGGGCAGGCAGAGCGGGGGCAGGGAGCCGGGCGGGCAGAGGCAGCGGAAGCCGTTTTCTCCGTCCACGCAGGAGCCTCCGTCGCCGCACGGGCTGGACGAACACTCATTGACCTCCACGTTGCAGAGCGGCCCTGGGGAGCACGCAGGCAGCCTCGTCCCGGGCGGTGCAGCCCACCGGGGAGGGACAACCGAACCCCACCTAGCGCGTCTCCACCCCCGGGCAAGGACGACTTCTTTCTCTCACAACGCGCGTCAGCTCCTGCGCAAACCAGGACAGCCCCCTTCCTCAACCAAGAGCTGCCCTGCCCCCAGATCAACCTGGTCCCCAAATTCACGTGAAGTCACTTTCACTTCCGCCTAGGATAACTTTTAAAGCCATCGACACCATCTGCGTTCTAGAATGATCCCGAGCGAAAATGGGGACAACCTCGGGCCCACGTGCCCAGCGAGCACGACCTCAGGGCAAAGCACGGACACTCTCGTTGGAAAAGAACGTGCAAAGAGAACGGCAACGCTCAGAGACGGGTGACCTCACCGCCATTCTATAAGGAACCCCCCTGGCCATGGCGGCCGCCTGCCCCAACCTGTGAAGCCGGGCTGGCAGACACAGTCATAGCGGTCGATGCCGTCCCGGCACACCCCAAAGGTGCAGGGGTTACTGGCGCAGTCATCGATGTTCACCTCGCAGTTCACACCTGGGGTAGGGGAACGCGGCAAGGGGTAAGCCACCACTGTGCCCCCGCCATTCCCCCTCCCTCCAGTCGTGCTGCTCCTGCCCCAGGCCCCCAGCCCCACCTGTGGTGCCGGAAGGACAGCGGCAAAGGTATTTGTCCACCAGGTCCAGGCATTTGCCCCCGTGGCGGCAGGGCTGGCTGCGGCACTCATCCACCTGGCTCTCGCAGCGCGTGCCCGTGTAGCCTGGGGCACAGGCACACGAGAAGCTGGCGATGCCGTCCACGCAGCGACCGTGGTGGCATGGGTCCGGAGAGCAGTCGTCCACGTTGCGCTCGCACAGCGCGCCCTCAAAGCCTGCGAGGGCCAGAGGGTCAGGCCCCGCCCACTCGCCCAGGGCCCGCCCACAGCTGTGGCCATGGCCCAATCCTGCCTCAGCTCTCTCTCAGGCCCTGCCCATCAGGGGGCGGGCTCAATTCAGGCCCCGCCCCCAGCCTGCCTCTCCTAACATCTAGCTGCGACTTCTAGGACGCACCTGTGGCCAAGACCCTCCCAGCAGTTAAATCCCACCCCCAGCTCCGGCCCCGCCTCCAGTCCTTACCTGATCCGCCCTGTTCCGCCCTGCCCTGGACTGCCCATGGGAACACCTGGGCGGTGCCTGGGGAAGGTGGTGGGATTGGGCCCGCCCCCTCCTGTTACTCCGCCCAGCCAGACCCCTTGGCCCCGCCCATGTCTTAGATCCAGCATTGGCTCCACCCTCAAGCTCTGTCATTGGCCCTGTCTGAGTCCTGTCTTGCTGCAGCCCCGCCCCCAAGCTCTCCTCCGGTCTGTTATTGGCCCTGTCCCCGCTAGCCCCGCCTCCAGATTCTGAGCCAGCCTCAGCCTCACCCTCCGCGCAGCGGCACTCGTAGCCATCCGGCTGGTCCACGCACTTGGCGCCGTTCCGGCAGGGCGTGCTGGCGCATTCGTCCACGTCCAGCTGGCACATGGACCCGCTGAAGCCTGGCGTGGGGAGTGGGACGAGCGCAGGCCCAGATAGGGTCAGTGGGGTCACCCCCTCACCAGCCCCGCCTTGTTTGGGTGGGAAAACCCACTGACTTGCATTTGCGTTCATGTCAATGTTTCTCATAGCATGCGTTTTCTATTACAAGTTAGCATGGCCTTATAGGGGTCCGCGAGCATGGCCTTATAGGGGTCCGCGAGCATGGCCTTATAGGGGTCCGCGAGCATGGTCTTATAGGGGTCCGCCAGCATGGCCTTATAGGGGTCCGCCAGCATGGCCTTATAGGGGTCCGCCAGCATGGTCTTATAGGGGTCCGCCAGCATGGCCTTATAGGGGGCCCCTCCGGAAGCTGCACAGCACAGACGCGTCTTAGGCCCCCCGTCGCAGGGTCCTCACCCGAGGGGCAGGTGCAGCTGAAGCCATTGACGCGGTCCTTGCAGGCGCCGCCGTTGACGCACGGGCTGCTCTGACACTCGTCGATGTCCACCTCGCAATAGGTTCCCGTGAAGCCTGAGGGCAGGGGAGGGGGATTAGGGCAGTGGGGGGGGCACCCTGTGGTCTGAAGGGGGCTCCATCGGGGAGGTACTCCCCTTCCCACTCCTAGACGGCCTTGGTCCCACCCGCGGCCCAGCCTCAGAGGCAGTTTCCAGCCACAGCCTGGACCCTCACCCAGCCCGGGTTTGGACTGGCCCAAGGCTCGTGAGACTAGACTCTACGGGGGCCTCCAAACCGCCCCCTTCCCCCAGTCCACGGACTGCGCCCTGCCGCCACGCCCGAGCCCCAGCGCCCACCGTAACCTTGTGCCCAGCCCCAAGTCCAACCCAGCCTTAGCTAGCGCGAAGTTGCAGGCTCCACCTTAACCCCGCGGCACCCCGCCATCCCACCCCCCTTCCCCAAGTGGGTCCCCACGCCCGGACCCCCTCCCAGCCCATCCACCGACTCCGGACCCCCTCCCAGCCCATCCACCGACTCCGTTGGACCACTCCTCACCCGGGATTCCGCTCTGACCCTGGCCCCCCCACCCCGCGTCATGCGTCATCCCAGGCTCCAGTCCCCAAGGGTCCCACCCCAAATTTAAATCCACCCCCCATCCTCCTCCCAGCCCCATCTCCCCGGTGCGGCTTTTCTCTCGGGCCGCCGCGCACCTGCCATGCAGATGCAGGTGAACTGGCCTATGCGGTCCAGACACGTGGCTTGGTTGCGGCAGGGCCCCGACAGACACTCGTTGACGTCGGTCTCACAGCGCGGGCCGGTGTAGCCGCGGCCGCACTGGCACAGGAAGGAGCCCTGCGTGTTCACACAGCGGCCCAGGTGCTCGCACGGGTTGGCGCCTGCGGGACGAGACCCCCCCCAACCGGGGGGGCCGGGCCCGCCCAAGCCCCCCCGCCCCGCCCCCCCCAGTCCCCGGATGGTGGTGCCCCACCCCCTCACCGATGGAGCACTCGTCCACGTCCTGGTCACACGCCCCGCCTGTGAAGCCGGGTGGACAGGTGCAGATGGCCCGGCCGTTCACCGGGTTCGTGTCGCAGATGGCGTCCTCGTGACAGGGGTTGCTCACGCAAGCGTCGTCCAGGTGACACAGAAGGCCTGGGAAGCGGTAGGCAGAAGTCAGCGACAGGCCCCCCAGCTCTGCCCGAGGGTCCCACACCCCTCGCATACTGTGTTCCGCACTGGCAGGATCATCGCTCACTGCAGCCTCCAACTCCTGGGCTCAGGCGGTCCTCCTGCCTCAGCCTCCCCAGTAGCTGGGACTACAGGTGTGCGCCACCATGCCCGGCTAATTCTCCTATTTTTTGTAGAGATGGGGGTCTCACTATGTTGCTCAGGTTGGTCTCGAACTCCTGGCCTCAAGTGATCCTCCCTCCTTGGCCTCCCAAAGTGCTGGGATGACAGGCATGAGCTACTGTGCCTGGCCTACCTGCCACCTGGACTCAGCTGATTATAGCTTATTATCGATCTTTGTTTGGGTGAACATTTGAAATAGATATGCAAACAGTCCACCATATGGTATTTATTTTATTTTCATTTTTATTTATTTTATTATTTTATTTTATTTTTATTTTATTTGAGACAGAGTCTCACTCTGTTGCCCGCTAGAGTGAGTGCCATGGCGTCCACCTCACTCACAGCAACCTCAACTCCTGGGCTCAAGCAATCCTCCCTCCTTGGCCTCCCAGAGTGCTAGGATTACAGGCCACGCCTGGCCTATTGACTCTTTATTTGATTACAAAAGGGCCCTGCCCTCAAGCCTTCACCTCTACAGTCCCCTCTGCAGGGCATGCCCCCCCTCCTTTCCAAGTCCCCTTCCTAAACACCTCCTCTGACCTTTGCCACTTGCAAAGGTCCCCTTCCTTTCTAGGTTACACTTCCCAGGAGCTCCCATGGCTTCTTCTGGGGACCACATGTCAGCCTCCTCCCAGGCCTCTCCCTTCACCCCAAATCCAGCTCTCCAGTCTAATCTTTTTTTTTTTTTTTTTTGAGACAGAGTCTCACTTTGTTGCCCAGGCTAGAGTGAGTGCCGTGGCATCAGCCTCGCTCACAGCAACCTCCAACTGCTGGGGTCAAGCAATCCTCCTACCTCAGCCTCCCGAGTAGCTGGGACTACAGGCATGCATCACCATGCCCGGCTCATTTTTTCTATATATATCAGTTGTCCAATTAATTTCTTTCTATTTATAGTAGAGACGGGGTCTCGCTCTTGCTCAGGCTGCTTCCGAACTCCTGACCTCAAGCAATCCGCCCGCCTCGGCCTCCCAGAGAGCTGGGATGACAGGCGTGAGCCGCCGCACAGTCTAATCTTTCTAACACTCAAGTCAGACTTTCTCATTGCCACCCCCCACTCAATAACCATCAATGGCTCCCTGCTGCCTACCGGGAAAACGGCCACTCACCGGTCTTGCCCATGGGGCAGGCACAGTAGAAGGAGGCCACGCGGTCATGGCAGGTGGCCCCGTGGAAGCACACGGCCGTGGCACAGTCATCGATATTCTGACTGCAGCTCTCGCCTGTCCAGCCGTTGACACACACGCAGCTGTGGCCGCCCAGCGTGTTGAAGCAGGTGCCTCCGTTGTGGCAGGCATTGGGCTGCAGCTGACACTCGTCCACGTCCTCCGTGCAGAATTGGCCTGGGGCACACAGACGCGCCCGTCCAGCCGCCCGCCGCCCGCCCGCCCACGGCCTGCCGCCCGGCCCGCCGCGCCCCCCCCGCCCACCTGTCCACTCCGGAGGACACTGGCAGTTGTAGGTGTTGACGCCGTCCACGCACGTCCCCCCATGAGACATCGGTGCCCTGGACAGTCGTCCACGTTCACCTCGCAGTTCTGGCCCTCGAACCCTGGCACAGGAAGAGGCAGGGAGAAGGCGGTCACCCCCGGGGCCGCCCTGCCGTCCCCCAAGCCCAGCTGAGCCCGGCCCACTCACCGGGAAGACAGGCGCAGTCATAGGTGAGGTCGCCGCTCTGCCTGCAGGTGCCCCCGTTTCGGCAGGGAGAAGGAGCGCAGGGCACGGCGGGGCTCTCGCACAGCGGCCCCGCGTAGCCGGCCGGGCACTGGCAGCGGAAGGAGCCGGGCGTGTTGAGGCAGGTGCCCCCGTGGCGGCAGGGCCCGCCCACCCGGCACTCGTCCAGGTCGCTGCGGCAGCTGCGGCCCTGGTAGCCGGGCGGGCAGGAGCAGGCGAAGCGGCCGTCCGCCCCCACTGAGCAGCGGGCGCCGTGGGCACAAGGGCTGCTGAGGCAGGGGTCCGGCAGGGAGCAGTCCGGGCCTGGAGGGACCAGGGCAGGGTGAGCTTGGGAGCGACCACGCCTCGCCTCGCCCTGGGCTCCCCTCGGGGCTCTGCCCTCTCACCTCGGAAGCCACGGGGGCAGCGGCAGGAGAACCGGGCGGTGCCGGCCACCACCGAGCTCTGGCAGACGCCGCGGCCGGCACAGGGGCCCGAGTGGCAGGGGTCTTCCAGCTGGCACCGCTCACCCACCCAGCCTGGGGGGCACCTGCGGGCAGAGATGGCTTGGTGCGGCCAGCTCGGAGCAAGGTGTCCCCAGACAGCAGAGACGCACACAAGGCAGGCAAGAAACACACGGGCAAAAAAAATAAAAAATAACAACCCAGCAAACACACACACACATTCCTTTATGCAACGGCTTTTTACCGAGCACCTACTACGTGCCACGCAATAGGAATACAGCAGCAAACGCAATAAAAGTGGTCTCTACCCTCTGGATCTGCATAGCCAGGTCCAGGCAAAGAGAACATACACACATGACAAATTAACGTACAACGTGCCAACAGGGTGTGGTGAGGTGCACAGGGGACCGGGAAGGGGGGGGCGAGTTGGCTGGGAGTGGCAGCCTCCAAAAAAAAACACATCCATGTCCCAGAACCTGTGACCGTGACCTTATTTGGAAAAAGGATCTTTGCAGATTGTAAAGGACTGTCACCATGAGGTCGTCCTGGCTCATCCAGGTGGGCCCTGAATCCAATGACAAGTGTCCTTGTAAGAGACAGGCAAGCCAAGGAATGCCTAGAGCAGGCGTCCTCAAACTCCGGCATGGGCCACATGCGGCCGCCGAGGACATTTATCCGGCCCGCCGGGTGTTGTTGCCGCCGCTGCCTGTCCTGCTTAGCAGCCGACTGGTCCCGGGCCCACAGTGCGCAGGTGTGGAGTGTGCGCCCCACTCTTTAACGGTCTGAGGGGCAGTGAGCTGGCCCCCTGTTTAAAAAGTTTGAGGACCCCTGGCCTAGAGCCACCAGAAGCTGGAAGAGGCAGGAAAGGATTCTCCGCTGTGGCCTCCGGAGAGGCCCTGAACACACCTTGATTTCGGACTTCCAGCCTCCAGAATGCAAGAGTGTAAATTCCTACTGTCAACGCCAGACACTTGGTCACAGCAGCCGCAGAAAACTAGCACACAGGCTAAGAGGAACAGAGTGGAGGAGGGTGGCGAGGAGAGGTGAATGTTATATTTTCATAGACAGAAGAAGGTGAGGAGGGGGCCATGGGGCTGCGTGTGGGATCAGCATTCCAGGCAGAGGGAACAGCAAATGAAAAGTCTCAGACTCTCAGAGACAGGACACACCCACCGGGCCCATGGGGCTGGCAAACACCCAGGGGCAGCTGAGGGCTCCCACGTGGATGCGGGGGCCTCTGGCTCACAGGGACAGACGCGAGGACGTCCACAGTCCCTGGGACGCCCACAGCCCGCACGTGGGGTCAGGGGCTGGAGCGGCCCGGACCCCTGCGTTGGCGCCCGCACCTTGGAGGTGGCCCTCCTTCCTCGAGCCCACCAAGGCAGCTTTTGGGTGTGGGAGAAACGAGAGTCGGTGTGTGGGGTTGGTCTCAAGATTGGAAATCTCCAGGGGGCACTGGCGGGGTGGGCGGGAGGGGCTAGGAGAAGCGACAGGGTCCGGGCTCCGCCCCCGACGCCGCCAACCCTCACCCCCCCGCCCCTCGGGCCGGTCCCCTCCCTCCGGCTTGTCCTGAACCCTGACCAACTCAAGCAGTGACTGACTCAGTCTTTGGCGTCGCCCACGAGATCCCCCCCCCGCCCGCTCCACCCCGCCCCGAGAAACAGGTCGGGGCGCGGCCGGCGGCAGGGCGCGCGCGTCGGAGCCAGCCCGCCCCCAGCCCCTCCCAAAGCGCCGCAGGGCCACGCCGCGCGCAGGAGGCGCGCTGCGCCGCGCGCAGGGCCGGTCCCACCGCCAGGCAGGCGCGACCCGCCGCGCCCCTGCGGCGAGCATTCCAGGCAGAGGGAACAGCAAATGAAAAGTCTCAGACTCTCAGAGACAGGACACACCCACCGGGCCCATGGGGCTGGCAAACACCCAGGGCGCAGCCGAGGGCTCCCACGTGGATGCGGGGGCCTCTGGCTCACAGGGACAGACGCGAGGACGTCCACAGTCCCTGGGACGCGCACAGCCCCCACGCGGGGTGGGGGGGGGTGGAGCGGCCGGACCCCCGCGTTGGCGCCCGCACCTTGGAGGTGGCCCTCCCTCCTCGAGCCCACCAAGGCAGCTTTTGGGTGTGGGAGAAACGAGAGTCGGTGCGTGGGGTTGGTCTCAAGATTGGAAATCTCCAGGGGGCGGGAGGGGCTAGGAGAAGCGACAGGGTCCGGGCTCCGCCCCCGACGCCGCCAACCCTCACCCCCCCCGCCCCTCCGGCCGGTCCCCTCCCTCCGGCTTGTCCTGAACGCCTGGACCGAACTCAAGCAGGTGACTGACTCAGTCTTTGGCGTCGCCCACGAGATCCCCCCCCGCCCGCCTCCACCCCGGCCCCCGGAGAAACAGGTCGGGGCGCGGCCGGCCGGGCAGGGGCGCGCGGCGTCGGGAGGGCCAGGCCCGCCCCCAGCCCCCTCCCCAAAGGCCCGCAGGGCCACGACCGCGCGCAGGGAGGGGGCGCGCTGCGCCGGGCGCGGAGGGCCCGGGTCCCACCGCCAGGCAGGGCGCGACCCGCGCGGCCCCCTCCCGGCGCCCCGGGCGGGTTCCCACGCTCCGCGCCCGGCGCCCCCGCCGACCGGTCGGGCCGGTTCCAGCCCCGGCCCGCGCCCCGCCCCGCGGCCCGAGCTTTGGGGGAGACGGAGGGGAGAACGCAGACTGGGGGGTGGGGTGTGCAGGGGGGAGGCGAGGACTAGAAGACAGAGGCGAGAGCTCGGAGCCTACGTGCGGGGAGACCCGGGGGTCCACAGGAGTGGGGTGACAGTCTGGGGCATCCTGGAAAGGGCTTGAGCATCTGGGACCTTGAAAGAGGGTGTGGAGGGGTGGGGCGTAGGGAGCGGTTCCCACAGCCCGCGCTGGGGCCCGAGCCCGCTCCGCTCCGGCCGATCCCGGCTCCGGGCGCCGCGCGCGCCGGTGATTCACCTGTTGGGGAGGCGGGGCGGCCGCGGGCGCATTCACCTGTCGGCAGTATTCCAGGCGCGGAGCCGCACCGCGCAGGCGCCCGGCCCCAGGGCTCAGCCTCCCAGGTGAGTGGCTCCAGGTAAGGTCGCCCTTTCCCCCAGCCCCACCGTCGCAGACCCCCCCAACTCTACTAGGAACCCCCCCCTCCGCCCCCGTAGCCGGGCTCAGCCTTCCACACAGGGGAGCCCAGGTGGGGCTCCAGCCAAAGTGCGTGGGTGCGTGTCAACTTGAAAGGGGCTCTTTGGGTCTAGAGTCACCCCAGACCTACCCAGCTAGGGCCTCGCCCAGTGTCTGGCACACATGATGTCGAATAAATGAACACATTAATGAATCAATTAATGGCTGCTGAGTGAACTGCTATTACTAATTATAGCATAAAAGAAGCCAAGCAGTTCCAATAACCTTGAGGGGTCCCCCCACATCGATCCTATTTCCTGAGTCCCTACCAAATAACACTGTTTATGGAGCACTTAATATACGCCAAGCGGCTGAGCACATCATATGAGGAAGCCTCGTTTAATCTTTACGATTACAGCCAACCCCGTAGGAGGAGTTCTTACTGCCCCATTTCCCAGATGCAAAAACTTGAGGCCGCAGAAAGCAAAGCCAGGGAGAAGCACTATTTCACAGATGCAGTGAGGTTCAGAGAGGGGAAGTAAGTAGCCCAAGTAGTTCAGACAGCAAGACAGTGGCAGAGCAGGACTGTATTCCAGGCCCCCTGTGCCCCCCACCCCACCACCACTAAATGCTGAGATATGGGAGCATGCGGATGGCGTCCCCACCCCTGCCCACCCACTGCCATCGGTCCCTGAAAGTCTGTTGATTGAATAATTAATGCCCGCCTCATCAGGGGCTTAACGCATGCCTTCAGATGGCCAAGAACTCTGTGAAGCTAGGATTACTGGGCCCATTTCCCAGACCAGGAGACTGAGGCTTATAAGGTTTAATTCCCAGCCAGTCAGCAACATGACGTGGGATGTGAACCCAGGCCAGGCAGGCTCCAGAGCCCCTGCTCAACGGGGAAACAGGAGAGGTTGCCCAAGCCACACACATGTAGGAAGTGGCAAAGGCATGGTGGGGGACGCAGAGGAAGACAAACCGCCTCCCCACATGGGGCCACAGGCAGCCCCGAGACAGGCACTCACAGGCAGGCAGCCTCCCGGGAGGGCAGCTGGGTGCAACGGCCTCCATTTGCACACGGGCTTCCGTCCAGGCAGGGGGGGGCTGTGGAGGGAGCGAGGGAAGGTAGGGGGTCAGCCGGGCACCCAGGAACCCCAGCCCTGAGTGGCAGACCCCCTCCCTCCATCCCTCCCTCCCTCTACCAGGCGACAGCTGCACTGGGCTGGGGTGTCTCTGAGGGTGCAGGGAGCCCCCTCATCCCCGGTTCCCACGGCCCCCCGCCCAGCCCCAGCTGTTGGGGCTGCAGCTGTCCCTGCCAGCTCGAGCCCTGGGAACCACAAGGCAGGGGCGGGCAGGAGGAGGGGCTGACTTGGGCCAGATGTGGGGGCTCGGGAAGCTGCCCGTGCTGAGCTGTGTACGATGGGGGGTGCCAAGGTAGAAAGTGAGGGTGCTGAGTGCTATAGGGTGGTCTGGGGGCTTCGTGCCCGGGTCCTGGGTTGGGACCCCGTCCCCTGGAAGGGACAGGGACAGAGAGTCCCCAACCCCTGGGTTGGGTCCCGGTGCCCTGGAAGGGACAGGGACAGAGAGTCCCGGGGTCACGGGTCTTCTTTCCCCTCATGTGGGGCACCCACTTCGGCAGGGCAGGCTCTCGGGACAGGGGCCAAGGCATGTACCCACGGGTGAGCACGGAGTTTCCAGGGGCAGCCAGCGCTGGCTGTGGCGGGTTGGGGTGTGTGTGTGTGGAAGGAAGGGGCAGCTGGCACAGGACGTGTGCTGCCCTGCCCAGCACTGCCACCCCTGAGGGCTGAGTCCCTCTGGGGTGTGGCAGAGTCTAACTGTCCTGCCAGACGGGCCAGCCGTGTGGCCGGGTCTGAGTTAGTGGGGCGCTGTGTGTTTGCGGGCAGGTGTGTGCGTCCGCGTGTGTGTCAGAGAGAGGGAGGGAAATTGAGAAAAACAGAGACATAAAGACATCAAAGAAGAAACCAGAAGCAGGTACCAGGAGAGAAGGAAACAGAGAAGGGCAGAGAGAGAGAGATAGCAAGGGGGGACAGATGAGCTGAGCTCAACATGAGGACGGGTCCCCCTGGCATGTGTGCCCTTCCTCAGGGGACAGGGGGACAGGAAGGACACTGCACTCTACACTCAGGGGGCTGTGTGACACGGGCCGCACACTCATGCGTGTGCCGGCGTCACCCTTGCCGTGTCCACGTGCAGCTCAGGGTGAGGCAGTTCACGTGCGCCGGTGTGCGTGTGCCCGTGGGTCTGTGAACTGCTGGCCCATGCGGGGGGGACAGATGTGTGTGCTGTGTGCGTGCGGGCTGCGTGTGCCGCGTGTCCGCATATGGGAACCGCGTATCTGCGCGTGCGGCTGCGTCCTTGCGTGGGCCTACGTGTGCACTCGTGCGTGTGTAGGGTGGATGTGCCGGTCTGTCTGCACGTGCGAGCTGGGAGCAGGCGTGTCCCGGGGTCTGTGTCTGTGGGTGCCCGAGTGTGCCAGGCCTTGGGCTAGAGACGCGCAGGATGCGTGGTCACCTTTGATTGCGTGCGTGCGTGCCAACGCATGAGCTGTGTGGGCCTGGGTGTGTCTCGCGCGAGCCAGGTGTGCAGGTCGGCCTGCGAGCTGCGTCTGTCTGTGTGCGCCCGTCTGTGCGTGGTCTGTGCGTGCGTGCGCGTTTGCAGCTCTGTCTCCGTGCGACCCAGAGCCGTGTGCGCCAGCGGGCGTGTGGCAGGCCATGTGTGCATGTGCCGGCCCGCGGGGGCGGGCGCTCCTGCCCAACCCTGGCCCGTCTTCGCGCGGGGCTGGGGCTGAGCTGGGGAGGCTGTTCCCTCCCCCACCCCACACCCTGCCCAGCGCCCGGCCGCAGAGCAGCGCCCCGACCCCTGGCCAGGGCCCTCGGCCCGCGCCCCTCCCCCGCCAACCAGGCCTCCAGCGGCGGCGGCGGGGGCGCCCCCGCACCCCCGCTCCGGCCCGGCCCGCCGCGGGTCCGCGGGTCCCGCTTTGTCTGGCAAAGAAAGCGCGAGGCCGGCCGGGGGGAGGGGGTGTCTAGACGGCGCGGCCATTGTCCCGAGCGGGGGAGGGGAGAGAGGAGAGGAGGGGAGGAGGGGCGGGGGCCCCCGGCCGGCTGGGGAGGGGCTCGGGCCTCGGGGAGGGGGCGCTCGAGCCCGAGGGGAGCACGTGGGCCCTCGCCCCTTCCCCTCCCCGCGCAGGGCGGGGCCCCAGGGCCGCCGGGTCCCCGCGGCCCGAGGAGCGGGCAGGACTGCAGCGGGGGCAGTGGGGGGGCGCGGGCACCGCGGCGGCTCCAGCTCCGGATCCGGGTCCGGGTCTTGCCGCGCTCCGGCCTGGGAAGTTTTCTCCGAGTTCTGAGCTCCGAGAACTTCGCGCCCCCTCCCCGCCCCCCGCCCGGCCCAGCCCGCCCGGGGTGTCGGGGGGAGGGGGCGCTTTTGTGCAAGGGGTCTCTGGCTTAGGGGTACTTGGGCCCCCAACTGCACCCTTTCCAGGACTCCAGGCGGGAGTGGGATGGGGGCGAGCCCCGGAGTCTTAGTACCCCCGCGATCTTGAGTCTGGGATTCCCGAACCTCGAGTCCAAGTCGCGGACTCCTGGACCCCTTCCTCTACGGCCTCGATCGCTCAGGGGCCTCCGGGGCCCTCCCCATTCTGAGTCTCCGGGACCCCCAGGACTGGCACGCAGCCCCCGGCTCCTGCCCCGACTCTGATCCCTGGCTCCCAGGACCCCCCCGCCCAGCCCTGGACTTCGGGGTTCCTGCGCTGCCTCTTCCCCGCCCCGGCCCGGTCCGCCCGGCCCCGGCCCCTCACCTGCAGCCCCCGGCCCCGCTAGCAGCAGCAGCAGGGGCAGCGCCCGCACGGGCGGCGGTGGCGGCGGCGGCGACGTCGGGCGACGGCGGCGGCGGCGGCCCCGGGCCCCCGGCCCCATGGCGGCCGGCCGCGACCCTCCCCTCCTCCCTCCTCCCTCCTTCCCTGGGCTCCGGGCGCGTCCCGGGCCAGCCTCCGCGCCGCCAACTTCGCCGAAGTGAGGCCGCCGGGCCGCCCCGCCCCCAGCCCTCGGCGGCTCGCCCCGCCCCGGGGCCGGCCCTGCGCGCCCCCGCCCCCCGCCGGCCTCCGGGGTCCCTGCCCACCCTCCACCTGCACAGCCCGGGCCCCTCGGAGAGAGACCTAGGCCGGCCGCGCGGAGAGAGGCGGCACACCCGGCTCCGTGGACAGCCCCACGCCCCACCCTCCTAGCCGTGCGCAGAGCCAGGGCGGAAACGCAGACCCCCAGAAACCCCCAAAACGGAGGCCAGGCGAGTGCGGGGCGGCTCGTGAGCACACAGCCAGCAACGCGCGAATGCAGACCCATGCACCAGACTGCGTGGGGACTCAACATCTGAAACGCGCGCAAACCTAAGACGCAGGCCCGGCCAGGCCGGAAGCCTAGAGGGGCAGGGGCGCGTTTGCAGTCTCAGGGCTCCGACACACAGTAGGAGTCACAGTAGGAGTGAGTGCATGCGTGGGTGCTCACACCCACATCCCTGCTCACTCTCGGCCCTCCCTCTCAGCCCCCTTCCTACCCTGTGTGACCCTCAAAGATCCACCCGAGACCCCCGGCCCGACCCAGTACCCCACGAAGCTTTGCCACTCTCGCTCTATTTGATCAATTGCCTTTTCCAAAATCAGCCGCACTGCAATGCGTTCCTGCAGCCAACCTCTGTCCCTGTGTCAGAGAATGGGGACCCTGAGAGGCCCCAAGTCTGGCCCTGGAGAAAACCCCCAATCTTGGGGAGCAAAAGCTGAACACAGTGACACCCCCCAACACAGAGGGCTCGGGGCCGGGCCAGATGTAGTTACAGGGTCACAGAAGGGGACAGAGTAGCCGGTGAGGCTCCTGCCTGGGCGGGTTATTTATTTGCCCATGCTTGTATTCGGCAAGTATGACTAAGGTCCCAGCTCTATGTCTGTCTCTGGTCTAGGGATTGGGGGTACCCCTTAACCCCACTCTAGAGAGAGTGTCCCAGAGGAGGCTGTGGTGTCTTAGCTCTGAAAGATGACATCCCATCCCGGGAGAGGGACTGTCCGGCTCCCAGAAGGGGGGACAGAGCCGTGAGAGGGTGTCCAAGCCAGGGGCCAGGAGGAGGGGACACAGGCCAGGCTGGCTTGACGTTCTGGTGTCTGGCCTGGTTGGATGCAGGCGTGCGGTGCTGACTCCAAGGAGTCACCCACAAGGCAGCTGAATGCTGGGGCCGAACGTGGAGGACCGGTCCGAGTGGGAGACAGTCACATGCATGCCCCAGAAATCTTCAGGCAATTTCTTTTAACTTTTTATTTTGAAATACTATCGAACACAGAAAGTTGCAGAAGAGCACCAACAATTCTCATATACGCCTTTCGTTCGGGCCAGGCCCGGTGGCTCACGCCTGTCATCCTAGGATGACTCTGGGAGGCCGAGGCGGGAGGAGCGCTCGAGGTCAGGAGTTCGAGACCAGCCTGAGCAAGAGCGAGACCCCCCCGTCTCTGCTAAAAATAGAAAAAAAAAATTAGCTGGACACAGTGGCAAGGGCCTGCAGTCCCAGCTACTCGGGAGGCTGAGGCTGAGGAGGATCACTTGAGTCCAGGAGTCTGAGGTTGCTGTGGGCTAGGCTGATGCCACTGCACTTTACCTGGGGTGACTGGGGGAGACTCTGTCCTTCCTCCAAAAAAGCCCTTTGTCTGCTCCCCAGCCACCCGCACTGTGCCACATTTGCCGTATAATTATATATATATATATGAAATATGCATATATGTGCACTTCTTTGGCTGAACTATTTGAGAGCAAGTTGTAGCTGTGATGTTCCTTGGCCCCCAGTAGTTCACTGTCGGTTCCCTATGAACAAGAGCATCCTCCTGCACAAACATGCTCCCGTTTTCCCCGCAGTCCGTTTTCAGAGTTCACCGATAACGTTTTCTTTGCTGGCCCAAGGTCTAAATCCTGGATCAGTCGTTGCAGCTAATTAATCATCGTGTCTCTGGGTCTCCCTTAATCTGAGTCAGTCCCTCAGCCCTTCCTTGTCTTTCATGACAATGACCTTTTTTTTGGAGAGTCAAACAAAGTCAGTTGTTTTGAAGACCGTCCATCAGCTGGCTGGCGTGCTGGTTCCTCGTGGCCAAGGTCAGGTTGTACATCTTTGGCTAGAACCCCAGAAGCCATGCCGGGTCCCCCCGAAGCGCATCCTACCAGGAGGGACCCCGTGTCAGCTGCCAACGTTGGTGGCGTTCAGCCTGGGTCACTGAGGTGAGGTGGGCCACGTTTCCCCACTGTGTGAATGCCCTGGTGCCTGTTGTAGTTTCACCCACTGGGTTTGGCATCAGTTCATGATTTCTTCTGATGATTTTTTTTTTAAAGTGGCAGTAAAATTCACGTAACATAAAATTGACCATGGGCCTTTTTAAAGAGCACAATTCAGCGGCATTTAGTGCATTCACAGCGTTGTGCGGCCACCACCTGTACTGAGTGACAGAACATTCTTATCATCCCAGACGGAAGCCCTGAGCCCATTAGCAGACGCTTTGCATTCTCCTGTTTCTCCCCAGCCCCTGGCAACCAGTAATCTGCTTTCTGTCCCTGTAGATTTGCCTGTCCTGGACGTTTCACACAAATGGAATCGTACAGTATGTGGCCTGTGTCATTCAGCGCTGTGTCTTCAAGGTTCATCCATGGCGTGGCATGGACCAGTACCTCGCTCTTTTTATGGCTGAGTAGTATTTCATTGAATGGCTGCACCATTCACCCACCGATGTTTTGGATGAGATTTTATATATATATATATATTTTTTTTATTTACTTATAACTTATTTATTTATTTTTGCCCACCTTGATTTCAAGGACGATTTATTTTTTGTAGAGATGGAGGGTCTTGCTACCATTGCCCAGGCTGGTCTCAAACTCCTGGCCTCAAGCGACCCTTCCCGCCTCAGCGTTCCCAAAGTGCTGGGATTACAGGTGCGAGCCACGGCGCCCGCCCGGCCTCAGGGATGACTTTTAGCCGCTTCGGCCCGGCGCCACTCACGGCCGCGACGCCTCGCCCGCCCGCGGCCGCCACTCGCGGTCCCCACGGCGGTCTGCGCTGCGCATTGACCACGCGTCCGCCTCGCTCTTGTGTGATGAGGAAAGCTTGAAAGCACTGGAAGCTTCTTTTACTTTACAGGCAGCTTTACTTGTAATCAGAACAGGTAACATACACACATGTGTTTTCACTGCGTCATTTTTAAATGTTCGCAATTTTATTTTGGCACATGAGAAATTAGAAAAGCCATAGCACGGCTGCCGGCCAGAGTCGCTGCGCGCCTTCACCTGTGGCCGCCGGCTGCGGTCCAGGCTGGGCCGGACGTGGTTAGGGGCTGGAAGAGGAAGAGGCAGAGGAGGCCGAGAAGGGGCATGGAAGAGAAAGGAGAAGCATGGAGGGCTGAGGATGAAAGTTGGATGAGTGGCCAGGGGCAGGCATCGGAGGTGACCTCTGGCCCTGCCCGGGCTGGCGGCTAAGCCCAGCCCCGAGGCCCGGAGCTCAGGAGGCCGTGTGGGTCCCGTCCTATGGGTGCAGCCCCTCTGCGAGGGGAGACACCTGCACATCTTACGGGCGCCGCCGCAGAACCTCGGGAAGAGCAGACTTGCTAGAGGCTTTCCGGAGGAAGCGTTGGGATTGGAACCCGAGCCTCGGTGACTTAGGCCACATGGAGTGTACAGGGCGGGGTAGGGGTTGGGCAGAGAAAAAGAGAAGAGTTGCATAAGACGGTTCACACAGTGACTCACAGCGAGATTGTGCTGAGTCAACAGGCCCGTGGGGCAGGCTCAGCGCGGGTCCCGCCCCCTGTGCCCATCACCCCCCACACCAGCCCTGCTTTCAGGCCTCCAGGGTTGGGCCTCACCCTCCCCAGCCCCATTAAACCCCCCATCAGCACACAGGGTCAGACTCCACCTGCAGCCCAGTGGCGTAGCAGCTCACGCCTGTGACCCTAGAACTTTGGGAGGCTGAGGCAGGAGGATGGCTTGAGCCCAGGAATCTGAGGCCAGTCTGGGCAACATAGCAAGACTCCCATATGTGCAAAAAAAAAAAAATTTTTTTTTTTTTTAATTAGGCAGGTGAGGTGGTAAGAATCTGTAGTCCTAGTTACTCAGGAGGCTGAGACAGGAGGATCGCTTGAGCCTGGGAGTTCAAGGCTGCAATGAGCTTGCGAGCACGCCACTGCACTCCAGCCCGGGTGACAGGGTGAGACCCTGTCTCTAAAATACATACAATAAGACCCATCTGGATCCAGCAGGGCTCATGTTCTCCTGGCCTTTGCCCGGGCTCTTTCCCCTGCCTGGGACACCCAGCTGGACCGAGTGACCCTTTGCTTCCTCCTCAAGCAGGAACTCCAGCAAATGAGTCCTCTGCCAGCATGCATTTTTCTTCTGGTTAGAGGGGCCGCTGTGCCGTTTCTCACACACGCCACCCCTTTGCCTATGCTGGTTCCACTTTGTGCAATGCCTTCCCTCCCCCCAATTCCTGTTCCTGGTCTCCTCCTATTCACTCTTCCAGGGTCCCACTCTGGGGAGCCCTCCCCGCCCCCAGGCGGAGCCCCTCCGCACCCCTGATGCCCTTTTCTTCAGCTCAGCCTTATTGAAGGGGTTGGGGTGCTTCATCCGCCCTCCAAAGACTGGGGGCTCCATGGGTGCCGGGCAGAGGACGAAGGTTCTTGAGGGTCCCAGCATCCCCTGGCAGGGGGCAGGCACAAAAGTGGGTGACATGGGAGGTTTGGCGGCTCAGGAAGCGGCTGACGGAGTTGGGGTACCCAGCCCGGAATTGCTGCCCCCCGGGGGCCCAAACCCTTCTCTTCAGTACCATTTTTTGGGGGTTGCTGTGGGTGCAGAGAAGGGTCTGGGGATTGAGGGGCAAAGCCAAGGCCCTCAGGGAAGGCCAGCTCCCCGCCTGGCCAATCTGAGACAGGCTTTTCTGCTGGAATGGGTGCTCGAGGAGGTGCTGAGCTCCTCGTCACGAGGAGCAATCGAGGAACCGGGACGCACGTTTCGCCAGTCTGTGGCTCTGCCGCTATGGCAGCAGAATGGGTCGGGGTGCCGGGTGCGGAGTGAGACGGGCCGGGGTTGGTGAGGACACAGGCTAAGGGCGGCACAGGGGAACGGGGGGGCTACAGGAACAAGCACGCATCTACGGAGCAGCCGCTCAGCAGAAGGTGGGGGCCCTGCTCCAAGCTCCTGCTGCTGCCCTCAAGCCATGGTGGCGGGACTGGCCCAAGGTGTCCGGCCCGCGGGGGGACAGGACAGTCAGAGCAAGCATTCCCACGGCCTGGCCGCCCGCGACCCCACAGTTCCCAACGCGGCCGGGTGGGCTGGAGCCCCCTCCCCTCCCCTGCCCGCCGCCTTGGCCGGGGCCTGCATTTCTCCTCGGTGAGCTCAGTCCCCGGGGACTCGGGCCCTGGGGCCAGGCCAAGACACAGCTGCCGGCCCGCCGCCCAGGAACCTGAGAACGTGACCTCAGCCTCTCCTCCCGGGAGCGCAGGCCGCCCTCTGTGCCTCCCTGGAGCCCTCCAAGGCCGGGCGCAGCCCCTCTCCACGCCCCAGTTCCACCGCCCTGTCCCAAAGCCTTGGCACGGGGCGTTTCCACTGCCCGGAGGGAGCATGTGCCCCATGCCCCGGAGGCTCCTGTCACCTCACTGCCTACTCTGACCCTCCGGCTCTTCTCACCTTCACTCCATCATTTGTCATTCGACAAACACTCACTGCACACCTACTTGGTGCCACGCCCTGTTGTCCATAGAGGTGACCCAGGACAGACCTGGTTCCCGTCCCTGATGGCGCAGACACATGAGAAACAAGAAGGTGAACAAGGCCGGGTGTGGTGGCTCAGGCCCGTAATCCTAGCACTCTGGGAGGCCGAGGCGGGAGGATCGCTCGAGGTCAGGAGTTCGAGACCAGCCTGAGCAAGAGCGAGACCCCGTCTCTACTAAAAATAGAAAGAAATCAATTGGCCAGCTAATATATATAGAAAAAATTAGCCGGGCATGGTGGCGCATGCCTGTAGTCCCAGCTACTCGGGAGGCTGAGGCAGTAGGATCGCTGAGCCCCGGAGATTGAGGTTGCTGTGAGCCAGGCTGACGCCACGGCACTCACTCTAGCCTGGGCAACAAAGCGAGACTCTGTCTCAAAAAAAAAAAAGAAAGAAAGAAAGAAAGAGAGAGAGAGAACACATAAGAACCATCGGGACAAGAGGGTTCAGAGGGAGCGAGAGATTTCAGCGTGGGGAGGTCAGGACAGGCCTGGCTGAGAAGGGGATCAGAGGGAGGAGAGAGGCCTGCAAGGGAAACAGCCAGGGGAAGGGTGTTCCAGGCAGAGGGAACGGAAAGTGCAAAGGCCCAGAGGAGAAAGGGGTGGCCGGAGAGGAGCGACAGACAGCGAGGCGGCCAGGGTGCTGGGCGCCGGGCGAGCGAGGGGGCGCGAGGGGCAGGAAGGCAGGGGAGCTGGCGGGGCGGTGTCCCAAGAGGCCAGAGCGTCTGGGATTCTGGCCCCAGCACAGTGGAAGCCCCTGGAGGGTTTTAGCAGGGGAAGCTGGTCTGGCTTAGTTTGTAAAGGATCACTCTGGAAGTTCCGCTTCTCCTCCCAGGGAGCCCTCCTTGGTCCTTCGCAGGGCCTTCTCTGGGCTCCCACGGCCTCCTCCTCCTCCTCCTCGGTCAGGGCTCCGACCCCTCCCCGTGGGATCCTGCCGGCTCGGCGCTGAATCCCCAAGTCCAGCATGGAGCCTGGTGCCCCGCAAGCGGAGTCGCCGCCAGGTGAATGAATGAGTCAGGAGCTGGGACCTGAACGTGCCCAAGGCCAGCCCTTGAGACCACCCCCCCCAGACACTCCCTGCCTGGACACAGATACATCCAGCCCCCGTTAGAACAGGGCCTTGGTCAGGGGAAAAGATGGGGGCTGGGAGGGGGAGCTTCCCGAGGGAGGGGGCGTGAGAACAGCTGGGAAGAAAGGGAAGTGGAGGGAAGGGACCCCACTTCCGAGGGGCGCCTGCAGCTCTGTCTGCAGCCTGGGGAACAGGGACGGGGGAGGCCGTTCTCCGGCCCTTCTTGGGGAGCGGGCTGTGGTTTCCCTGCCCCGGGCCCCTGCAGCGGGTCTGAGGCCCTGTCCCCTGTCCTGCCCGCCCAAGCTCTTGGGCTGCAGACCCCACCAACCTTTTGCGCCCTGGCCTCCCTCTGGACTTCAGGTTCTCTTGCTCGCCTCCAAACCACGATGCTCTGATGTCCCCCAACTGCCTTGTCCTGGCCTCCCTGGCCCCTGAAGCTTGTCCTCTTCCCTGTAGGGGTGTCACTTGCTCCCCCTCGACTCCCTCTCCTGCTACTTCGGAGAAGGGGAGGACTCCCCTGACCTCCTCCCCCCTGAGCCGGCGGTTGAGGTCTCTTCCGGGATACAGTGAAATGCACACAGCGAACGCCCATCTCACATCTGCCCGGCCCCAGCTCCTGTCACCTCCCCTTGCCCCGCACCTCGTCCCACAGCCCCCCAACTCCATCCTTTCCTTCTCCACCCGCTCTGGCCCCTGTTCTCCCGCTCTGGCTTCTGGGGGGGGTATTGGCCAGTAGGAGGCCCTGCCCGATGGCCTTGGAGGAAAGTGAGAATGGGACACTAATCCTCCTGGATCACTCCCTGTGGGGCCACCTCAGCTGGCTGTGTCCCGTAACCAAAGGTCCTGCCCACATGACTCTCTGCCCCGGCTCTGCTGACCTCTTTCCTTCCCCTTGCCCCGGCAGGAACACCCGGAGAGGGTGCCGCTAACCCGGGTGCCCCCCCAAACCCTGCCCGCCCCACGGCATATAGTCCCTGTAGCACACCTGCCTCCAAAGACCCTGTTTGAATGTGTCAGTTCTGTCCCCCGGACCCCCACCCCGGGTCCCCGTCTTCCCCTCCGCAGCCCTGTTTAAACCACTTCGGGACGAGCGTGGACTACAGTCGACAGCCGCAGGTGAGCGCGCACGGCGACTGTGGCCGACAGCCGTGAAGTCGTGACTTTTCCAATTTTTCATGTATCAGAATAAAATTGTGAACATTTGAAATTAACGCAATGCAAACACATATTTCTGACTGACGTTACGAGTAACGCTGGCTGTGAACGAAAAGGAGCTCTCAGTGCTTCCAGGCTTTCCCCATCACACAAGAGCAAGACGGGCGCGGTCAACGGCAGCACAGGCCGCCCTGCGGGACGGACCCGAGAGCCGGCTGCGGGCGAGGCGTGGAGGCCGGCCAGCGCCCTTGCGGAGTGGTCAAGCTCACTGTGACCAGCGAGCCCTCCGCCCTCAGTCCCAGCTCTCCTTCCCCAGCGCTTCGGGATTCGCATGACTCGGTCCTCTCACTTGAAGCTCAGCAGCTTTTGAGGCCACAAACTGTATCCCTGCTCCTGGACACACGCGCTCCTCCCTTGCTGGGGCCCCTCACACTTGCCTGGCCCCTGTGCCACGTCTGTGGTCTCTTAGATGTTGGGGGCCCCCAGGGCTCAGTCTCCTGGGCTCAGTCTCCTGTCTGGTCCTCCGCTCTGGCCTGGGGGGACTTCGCCCTCTCTCTGAGCTTCGGTGCCTCTCTCTGTCACGACAGGCTGATGCTGGCTGGGCCATCTTTGTCTTTTTTCTTTTCTTTTTTTTTTTTTTGAGACAGAGTCTCGCTTGTTGCCCAGGCTAGAGTGAGTGCCAAGGCATCAGCCTAGCTCACAGCAACCTCAGACTCCTGGGCTCAAGCAATCCTGCTGCCTCAGCCTCCCGAGTAGCTGGGACTACAAGTATGCGCCACCATGCCCGGCTAATTTTATATATATATTAGTTGGCCAATTAATTTCTTTCTATTTATAGTAGAGACGGGGTCTCGCTCTTGCTCAGGCTGGTTTTGAACTCCTGACCTCGAGCAATCCGCCCGCCTCGGCCTCCCAGAGACCTAGGATCACAGGCGTGAGCCACCGCGCCCGGCTAATTTTTTTCTATATATGGTTTTAGTTGGCCAGTTAATTTCTTTCTATTTTTAGTAGAGGCGGGGTCTCGCTCTTGCTGAGGATGGTCTCAAACTCCTGACCTTGAGCGATCCTCCCGCCTCGGCCTCCCAGAGTGCTGGGATGACAGGCGTGAGCCACCGCGCCCGGTCCCATCTTTGTCTTTAACCCGTAAGATTCTTCCAGGTCCCTGCCTCCGCCCCAGATGGGACATGCCCCAGACCTGCCTCTGTACCTTCCCTGGGTATCTGCTCTTTCTCCAGAGCCTGGGCCACGCCCATCTTCCTTCCAGCCCGCCCCACCCCCCCTCACCGGGCCCGGAGGAATATTCCAGACACTCAGGCCTCGCGCGAAGCTCCCTACCATCCCCCGTCTTCCTATCCCGAACTGCCCTCCCAGTTTCATGGAAACCCTAAGTCATCCATGCGTGGGAGGCTTCCGTGGGTCGGAGCACAGTTTTGCAAGGCTCAGCGCCAAGGCCGCCTCCTCCAGGCAGCCTTCCCTTCCTGCCGGCAGGTAAGCGCCCCTCCCGGCTGGCTCCTCGTCCCGCCGGTGCCCGACCGCACCCCGCGGTCCGCCGCCCGTCCTCGGGTGCGGGCGTAGAGCTGCTGGCAGGGGCAGATGCATGCGTGAACGAATGAGTGAATGAACGAATGAGGTGCGGGAAAGCGGTCTGGAGGCAGGGGCTCCGGGCAGGGACTCCGCAGAGGGCATTTCCCGGGAGCAGCCCCAGCCGGAGCCCTCGAGGCCCCAGCTCCGGCCTGCAGCGACGTGCGCGCCAAACCCCTGGGCCAGGAGGAAGGCGCGTCCGGATTGGCCCGGGCAGGGGGAGGCGGGCCTAGGCCGAGCCGCCGCGAGCCCCTATTGGCCCACTCGTCGGGACTCTGCCCAATCAACGCGGTCGCTTCCTCCAGGGCGCCCTCTCGTCGCCCTAGCAACGGTCAGCGGACCCCAGTCGCCCGGGCAACTGTCCCAGGCCTCCCGTCAGCCTTTGCCTGGGCCCCTCCGGTCACCCGGACAACCGCTCCCCGTTCCGGTTAACCATCACCCTTCCCCCGTCGCCCTGGCAACCGTCGCCGGGGGCCCCACCAGCCCCCTGGACGCCGTCCTCGTCCTGTCCGCAGGCCTCCGCGCCCCCCGGCCTCCGCGCCGGCCCCCGGGGTCCCCGGGCCCCCCTGCGCTGGCCGGGGGCCCGGCCCTGGGCGGGGGTCCCTGCTCCGCCGGGGCCCGCCCTGCGCGGGGGCCTCCGCGCTCCTGCGTGGGACCGTCCGGCCGCCGCAGGGAGCTCTTCAAAATGCAGGCCATGTCCGTCCCTGCTGAAAACCCTGCCCGGCTTCCCTTGAGAGTCGGGCGCACGCTCCTCGCGGCCCTGGCGGCCTGGCTGTCCCCGCTCGCTCGCCCGCCCGCCCGTCCTGCCTTGGCAGCCGGGCTGGTCGCGCCTCGGACCTTCCCACGCACTGCCTTCCGCTCCCCCTTAAAGTGCGTCCCCTCCCCGAAAGCTGGGGTCCCCCCTCCCCCGCGCTCCCTCAGGGAAGCCTCGCGCGGGCCGTCACGGCGTGCACGGGAGGAAGGCTGTGTCCTTCTCGTTCATTCTCTGTCCCTGGAGCAGCGCCTGGCACCTACGTTGAGCGTAAAAGGGTGTTACTTTGGGGACCAGGGAGGGGCAGGGGGGGGTGTCGACCAGCAGGCAGGCCCATCCCAGAGGCAGGAGGATGCACTTCTCTGACCCCACAGGCCCTCAGGCTGCAGGTAATGACGCTGTCCCCCAAAGGCCAGGCAGACGCCAGGGAGACAGAGGCTGATGCCGTGACAGGCCTGGGGTTGGGCGCTTCCCCTCCCCTTGGCAACCCCCCCATCTGGAAGCTGGAGCCAGAGGCCTCCAGAAAGTCAGCAGGAAGCGCGGCTAATTTGGAGCAGAAGGTTCCAGGAGCCGGAGAGGCAGGCTTGCTTCGGGTCGCAGAGGGGACCTCCTGGGAGCTCAGCGAGTCCAGAATCTCACGCGTGCTTCCAGGGCCGCGAGTCCCTTTTCCCAGGGATGGGAGACGCGGGCCAGCCCCAGGCCGGGGCGGCCAGAGAACTTGACCTGACCAGGCCTAGGGTCAGGAGGAGGAGGAGGGGGAGGGGGATCGCGGGAGCTGCCCCCGGGGCCTGGCTGGAGAGGAGACTGCACGCCCACCTGCCTGCCCACCAGGGTCCCCTGCTTGCTGGGGCTGTCAAAAGCCAGGCGGGGAGGCCCCCCCCTACTCTTAAGCTACAAATACCCTCCTCGGCCGAGGCCAGGGCGCCGCCGTCTGAAAGATCTTTCTGCACTGATGTGGCGATTGAGCACTTGAACCATGGCTGGCGTGACTGAGGCACTGCATTTTAATTGTTATTTCGTTTTAAACTAATTTACATTTTAAGTTGAATCCCGCCAGACATGGCTGGCAGCGCGGTGGCATTCTGCATGAAGACCCAGGCTGGATGTGGGAGCCGGGGACGGGAAGGGCCAAGTTTATCATCTGGCCGGCCACGGCAAGGAGCAGGCTGGGGTCCCAGGGAGGGGAGAGGCAGGACACTCGGTCCCAGCATCTGGCGCCACGGAGCAGAGGGACACGGGAGTGCCCGGGGTCAAAGTGCCGGCTCAGGTGTGCACGCGCCCACGCCTGCAACGTGAAGGCCCGCAGATGCACTCACGTGCCGCCCGGGGTCCCGCGCCTGTGGGAGACCCAAGAGTCCGCCGGAGCTCGCGGACGTCCCTCGCGGACGTCCCTCGGGTCCCCCGGCACACTCGGACGGCGGGTGGGGCGTGTGCTCCTGGGAGTCCCCCCTCCCCCGCTCCTGGGCAGGCTGGCGGGAAGGGGGCCGCTAGTCCAGCAGGTCTTGCAGGAAGGCCCACATGTACTGGTGCATCTCCCGGGGGTGGCTCTGCGGGATCCAGTGGCCCGCCCCTGGCAGGATGTGGGCCTCCAACCGGCCGGGCACAAAGCGGCTGCCGATGGCCGCCACCAGCCCCAGCTCGAAGTACTGGTCTTTCTCCCCCCACAGCAGCAGTGTGGGCGCGGCCAGCTCCTGGGGCTCCAACGGGAAATTCCTGTGGCCAAGACAGACAGACAGACAGACAGACGGATGGATGGACGGACAGACGGATGGATGCCCCCCCCCCCTCCCGCCCCAGCGACTCTCCTGAGCTTCCGGCCCCACGCCCGTTCTCACCTGAAGAGGTTTCGGTAGTAGTTGATGGGCCCGGTGAGGCCATTGGGCTGTGAGAAGTTATACAGGAAGGCCTCGAGCTCGCTGGGGGTCAGGTGCGGGATGCCTGACTTGCGGTGAGCTAAGGTGGTCTTCAGGATCTGGGCAGACAGCAGGACTCTGGTGTCAGTGCCCGGCCAGCCCCCCCCCCCCCCCCCCCGGCCTGCCGCCCCCCAGCCCCAGGCCCTCGCCCCACTGCACCTGGAAGTCAGACATGGACAGAAACTTCTCGGGCAGCCAGGGAAGCTGGAACAGGAACATGTAGTTCGAACGGAAGAGCTGGCCAATGTGGCGCAGACAGTAGTCTGGGGTGGGTGGGTTGGGGGACAGAGGTGAGGCCTGTTAGGCCCCCACACACCTGAGCCCCTACGCATGCCCAGGTCGGGCACACGGGCCTCAGGAGTGCCGCCGCTGCGTTGCCTGAGTCTGTAAAAGACACCAGACGGCCCTCCTGGCCCCGTACCAGCCTCCTACCCAGACAGATGGCGCTGGGCGGTCGCCATCCTCAGAATGGGGGGGGGTCCTCCGTCTGCAGCTCGGGGGAGCCCCCACATTCACTGGTGTGCATCCGCTGCCTAGGCCAGGATGCTCCATTCAGCTGACATTCATTGAGCACCTACTGTGTGCCAGGCCCTGTTCTAGACCCTGGAGACACAGCAGCGAATGGGACAGACAGGACTTCCTGCCCTCACGGGAGCCTAGAGTCTAGAGCAGGGGTCCTCAAACTTTTTAAACAGGGGGCCAGTTCGCTGTCCCTCAGACCGTTGGAGGGCCGGACTATAGTTTAAAAAAAACGATGAACAAATTCCTATGCACACTGCACACATCTTATTTTGAAGTAAAAAGACAAATGGGCAAAAACACCCGCAGGTGGGCCGGGCGCGGTGGCTCACGCCTGTCATCCCAGCATTCTGGGAGAGCCGAGGCGGGCGATTGCTCGAGGTCAGGAGTTCGAGACCAGCCTGAGCAAGAGCGGAGACCCCCGTCTCTACTATAAGAGAAAGAAATTAATTGGCCAACTAATATATATATAAAAATTAGCCGGGCATCCTGTAGTCCCGCTACTCGGGAGGCTTGAGGCAGGGAGGATGCTGTGCCCGAGGAGATTGAGGTTGCTGTGAGCGAGGCTGACGCCACGGCACTCACTCTAGCCTGGGCAACAGAGCGAGACTCTGTCTCAAAAACAAAACAAAACAAAACAAAACACACAGGCAGGTGGCCGGCGGGCCGTAGTTTGAGGACGCCTGGTCTAGAAGGAGAGACGGGCACGAAATAACCACAAGGAGAGTGGGGAGGGGGAGAGAGAAAGAGAGAGAGAGGTCACGTAGCTACGACTCCCATGCCGGGAACTAAAAGCAGGAGCTGTGACACAGGCAGTGGGCAGCCTCGGACGGCATCTCATGCTCCCGCAGTGGCTTTAGTTACCTGTGCCTTCCCTGCCAGAAGAAAGTCATTTAACCTCTCTTGCCTCAGTTTCCCCCAGCTGTAACACAGGGGAATAACACTTTCATAAGCCCAGGAGCCTTGGGCAGGTTACTGCACACAGGCTCCTTGCTACTGCGTAAGTGCTCAAAGAATGTGGGCTGCTCCTAAATGCATTATCATCGACTTTAGACTGCGAAGTGACCCAAGGGAACAAACCCGGGTTCACTGCTGCGCCCCCTGCCCCTGGCAGGTGGACAGGTGTACACTGCAAATGTAGCCACACACACACACACCCCTGCACGCAGGTACAGCCCAGTGTCCCAGACTCCCCGACACACCTTGGTACACGGACATGGGCGGACCGCTGACCACAACCATGCGCTCCACCATGGACGGGTAGTAGATGGAGAAATTCCAGGCGATAAGAGCACCCCAGTCGTGGCTCACCAGGATGCACTTGGAGTAACCTGAGGGGCAGAGAAGCTGGTGTGAGGTGCCAGGTAGGGCTGAGGGCGGGGGGTCACAGGCCCCAGCAAGGAGGAAGCAGGGGCGGAGGGGGAAGGGGGGATGGGTGTGTGTGCAGGATGGGGGAGGTGGCTTCTGGGACGCGGGGCGTGTCTGCACCCAGGCCTAGGATGACATCCTCGATGTCCGCCATCAGCAGGCTGGTGGTGTAGCAGTCCACGTCCCGCGGCGCGTCGGAAGGACCATAGCCACGCAGGTCCACGGCCACGACGTGGAAGCGGCTCTGGAACTCCCTGAGCTGGTAGCGCCAGGAGAACCTGCCCGGTGGGCGGGGAGGGAAATTGAGTCAGGGCTCCTGGGGCTGCGCCTCCGTCCTACGCCCAGCAGAGACCATTGGCAAGCCCAGCTTCCTGCTCCAGATTTCCCAGAAAGGAGGACGGGAATCCCAGGCGGAGGCTAAGACCAGCTGCACCCCAAACCCAGGGCATCTCAACCTCAGCACCCCTTGGTCGCCTCCCTTCATGTCCTCCGGGCCCCAGGCACCCTGGCGCAGCCCCCTCGGCCCCTGGCATCCCCTCCGGGCCCTACACGCTCCGCGCGCCCCAGCCTACCCCGCCCACCCAGCCCTCCTCGCCGCGTCTTGGGTGCCCGGGCGGCTGGTCGGTCCGAGCCCCACCGGCCCCGAGCCCCGCGCGCGCCCCGCACGCACGTACCAGTTCTCGGGGAAGCCGTGCAGGAACAGCATGAGGGGTCCGTTGCCTCGCCCAGCCGACACGTAGTGCAGTCGCAGGCCCGAGCTCTGCGGGGTCGGGGCGCACGGTGTGAGGCGCGGGAACCCCCCTTCCTAGGCTCGAAGCCCAGGCCTGCGGGCTGACCGGGCATGCCCGCGGCCCCGGCCCGCGCGCGCTCACCTTGAGGGTCAGGAAGGCGTGCTCGCCCAGCGAGGGGTCGCTCAGGCAGGCGGGGGCCGCGCGCCGGCGGCGCCCGCAGCAGCCGCGCCGGGGCCGGCACAGCACGTGCGCCAGCGCCACGCAGCCGTAGGCCGCCGCGGCCACCAGCGCCGCGGAGAACACGAGGCTCCACAGGAAGGCGCGGAGCAGCTTCAGCGACAGGCGCGACGGCGCCAGCAGCGCCGTCACCACCAGGTCCGGCATGTGCCCGCGCTCGGGGCCCGCGGCCCCCGTCGGGAGGGGGGGGCCTGCGCCGGGGGCGCGCGCAGCAGCGGCGAGGCGGGCCGCCCTGCGCCGGCCCGGCCCTCCGTGCCGTCGGGCTGGCGGGCCGCGCCGAGGGAGAGGCGGGCGCTAGGGCCGAGACCGCCGCGGCTCGAGACTCACCTGAGCGCCAGGTAAACAGACACCTGGGCGCGCCAGGCACGGGGACCCGGGCCAGGGCGCGGGGGCGGGGCCCGCGGGGCCGGGGAGGAGCTTGTGCGGAAAACCGGGGGCGTGGGCGGGGCCGAGGGCGGCCTGGGCGGGGCTTAAGCCGGGGGCGGGGCCTGCGGGGACTCCCGCACCAGGCGGCGGCGCCGCGGAAGCGCTGGAGGTAGGTTCGGAGCGGGCGCAAACCTGCGGCAGGACCCCCTGAGGGCGACGGGCGGGGCCAGGGGCGAGGGGGCGGGGCCTATGCAGAGTAGGTGCGGCCTTCGGGCCGGAAAGGCGGACCCAACGTGGCCTGGGCGCGGTGTCAGGGCTAGGGGGCGTGGCCTGCGCGGGTGGGCGGGAGCGTGGGTGGAGCCTAGAGGAGGCGAGGCCTAACATTGGGCAGCGAAGGCCGGAGCCCTCGGTGAGGGGGCTGGGCCAATGGGACGGGGGCGAGGCCGGAACCTAATATGGCGGGTCGGGCGGGCCCGGAAGCGGAAGAAGGGGGACGGGCAATGCTATGGCTCGGATTAGAGGGCGGGCGCGGGCGGCCTCAGCGGGCCGAGGTAGCCTCGGGAGCCCCGGCCGCCGCCCGCTGGGAGCTCCCCGCCCCAGAGCGAGAGACCCTCTCCCCGGCCTGGCTCGGAAGACCTAGCAGCACCTTCATGCAGCCCCGGTTCCAACGGCGGGTCCAGCGGCCTCGGCCCAGCGCCGTCCTCCTGTTGGCCCAGCAGGCCCTCCGGCCCGCCCGCGCACGGCCGTGATTGGATGGCGGCGGCTATTGATGTCCGAGTGACAGGTCCCAGCCGGGGAGCCAATCCGCAAGTGGAGACGGGATACCCTGACTCCTAGGGGGCAGGCCCGGCTCCCCAGAGGAGGACCGGGCCAACTGAGTCACTGGGGCTCTGGCGGAAAGAGGAAGCAGGGCAGGGCCCGTTGTCACAGAGCCCTGTCCTTGCAAGGAACCAGCTTCTTCCTCCTGTTTTGCAACCTGCCCCCAAGATCCTGCAACACGTTAAGGACGCCTGTCATTATTTAACCCTTACAGCAGCACTGTTAAGTGTAGGTAGTCTTATCACATCCCTGCAGTACAGATCATGAACCTGAAATTCGGGGATGAAATCACTTGACTTAAAGCTATAAATCTGGCTAGACAGCAATCCAGAATGACAGGGAGAAAGACAGCAATCTGTCTCCACCTCCCTTCCTCCTGGGGGCGGCCATTGGAATGCCTTTGTATCTTCTGGTGGTTACCTAGGTATCACTAAATGTGCTTCTGTAACTATTTCTTGATTTAACAACTTGGGGCATTATCTACAGATTTACATCATCACCACTGGACGTGCTATTTTTTCTGTTGGTTTCATTTAAACTACCCACCATCCTTTGACACCTCCTGCTGCTCCTTCTTCTACCTCCCACTTTTATCTATACACCTTTGTATTTATTGTCAAGGCTGCTAAACATCATACTGTCCTGGGACCATAATGCAGTCCAGGAAGTTATTACTTAAAGGTGAAGAGTGGTTTATGGTGTTCTCAGTAAACAGTGCATCTCAGAGTTGGAACAGATAGATGTCTATGATCACACAGTCTCACATTGTTCTCCCTGGACTTAACGACCTAGCTTTTTTCTTGCTTGATTAGCCTAATACCATAATTTTGGCTTCTTTTATACTTTCCATCAAATCAATTCTCTGACAACTTGATGTTCTCAGGATCTCCCAGAGAGAGTCCTCTAATCTGGCTGCACGGCTGGTGGGTGTCTGGGGACCTCTGGTCTTCCTCTGCTACACATCATTGACCCCCGCCCTCACCTCACCTCCTCCCAACTCCTTCTTAAACAAAAAGACAGCAGTAGTCACAGGAAGGTAACTTTATATTCAGTACAAATGTTTATTTTTGCAATGAGAACTGCACAAAAAAAAAAGAACCTTTAGTATATAAGTGAAAAGTCTACGAATTCCCTTCTACAAATGTCTAAAGTGTTTAATACAAGTCTCAGATTCACTGACATAATTATTGGCCAAGCGATCCGTGCATACAGTACATTGGGGGCTTGTACACACCTCTTACTCTTGTATGGGACTAAGATTTCTAGTACTGTGGGAAGGATTGGGAAATGGCTGGAGAAATTAAATAGATCCCAGTTCTAAGGACAACCCAGTTAGATGTGAAGGTGGCCGTGGCAGAGTTAAATCTTCAGCAGGAAGGTGCATACAAAACCATCTCTCCAGCTCAACAGTTGGGCCAGCCTGGGGAAGTTACTGAACAAAACAAGGAACAAAAAACAGGGGGTGGGATGAGATGGAAGAAACCCCAAAGAACCAAAATATGTCACACTTGCACTGGCACAGTGGTCTATGAGGAAGTGCCTGGGTGGGTAGGGATGTCAAGGAAGTCAGGGGCCCCTGGCTGGATGCCCCAGCTACACCCTCGCTGGGAGGTTTGGCAGATCTAAACACAAGACGATAAAGGGCCTTACAGGCTGAAAAGGGGACATGTAGGTTAATAAACAGTGCTAGAAACGTTTCGGTTTGTCTCTGCATACATATAAATTATATACTTGTATCTTACATCCTAGGGGGCTGTTCTTGGGCGCCACCCGTGCCTTGTGGCTAGGGCATGTGCATACACAGGCAGGGCTGGCCAGGCGGCCATCCGTGGGCTTTCTCGGGCAGGAATGTGTGCGTGTGTATGTATGTGCATGGGGGACGAGGATCCTATTGGGGGGGGGGTGTACACTTATCTAAGAATATCTGGTTAACCCTGAGCTTAAATGAAAGGAGTTAGGTAGAGGCAAGCAAGGTAGGAGAAGTGGCCCAAGTCCTTTGGTGAGGGGAGGACCAGGACGGAGGAGGGTGAAGGGGAAGAATACTGTCTGGAGTATGGCCAGGGTTCTGCCAGAGCATGTCACCCACCTAGGCCAGGGGCCCACAGAATGGGTGCCTGGGCTCTGTGTCACAGCTTCTGCTTGGGGTGGCTGCTGCTAGCCTGAGCTGCTCCTGCCCAGGGAAAGCAGGGGCAGGCCACGGGAGAGAGGGGCTAGGTCGCTCCTGGTGGTAATTATTACCGAGAGGTGGTCTGGGGTCCAGGGGGGGAGCCCTGGGCCTAGCCTAGGCAACAGGTGGTTCACAAAGAAATGTCAGGGAGACGCCAGCATTAAAAAAGAGAGATGTGTTTATTCCATGATCAGTACAGACCAAATGCATATTCACCGTATGAAAGTCAAACCAGTCAGCGACTCCAGAGTTTGGCCAACACGGAGGCACCAGCGTTGTGGTGTAGAGTGGGTTCTCATGGCACGCGTAACCTCACCAAGGGCTCCAATTATAAAATTAAAAAAAAGCGTGGGAAGGAGCAGCCGGCTGGTTGGGGCTGGGCACAGGGCTGGGAAGCCTCTGCCTCAGTCTGCGCCCCCCAGCGCCTGGTGCCCACCTTGTCCCCTGGCCCTTCCTTTATTGGTAAAAAAACAACTCAAACAGATCTGACATTAAAAAAACAAAGAAGCCAACAAATGAGGGGGTAGGGGAGGAAGAGAAATAAAAGAAATCGCAGCTTTCTGGTTTAATAATTAAAAATAGACTAATAAAGTCTGAAACTGAGTAAAATATAGGCAGGTTTTTTTTTTTTTTTTTTGCATTTTGTGTTTTGTTCTTTTTTGTGGATTTTTGAGTTTTTTTTTTTTTACACCAGTTTGGTGGAGTCACCAACAAACTTCAAACAAAGATATGCCAACTATGTTCACTATACAGGACAGCCACGGTCACACACTACCCACAGCGCGGTGGCAGCGCCGCTCAATGAGACGATCACACCATTTCGGAGATAAGCAGTGCCATTGTGTCTGGAGAAGAAGAGAGAATTAAAAATAAAATAGAATCCAACAAAAAATATATATATAGAAAAAAAAAAAAACCAGAAACACAGGTGGGAAGGAACTGACTTTGGTTGGTGGCCTCCACTCCCCGGGCGAGGCCTGCCCACACACGCAGGACAGTCACCTCGCCCCAGACTGCCATGGACACACACCTCCACGGCACTATTCCCTTTTGCACAAGCGAACACTTACAGAGAGCGGCTCTCGATTAAAGGCTTGTGGGGGAGGGGAGGGGTGGGATCTGTTCAAGGCAAAGTCAGTGCCAGCAGGGGTGGGCCGGCCTCGCCCGCCTCCAGCCCACGTGGGCCTGCCCTGGCCTCCTGGGAGTGGGCGGCAACGGCTGGGTGTGGGGAAGAACTCCCGGTGGGCGGGACGTCACGAACGTCATGTTCTCGGGGACAGAAACCAGTCACGGTGGCGGCAGCAACGATGTCCTGTGTATACTGTGTAGACATTTGGCGGAGAGAAGGGCCTCTGCCCCCCACGTGGGGATACAGGGCTTGGGTCCGGCCGGCACTTGCTCGTAACGAGGCGTGCTCTGAGCTGACGTCCTGCGAGGGGTGGCGGGTGGCAGGACGTCTGTCTGGCTGGCCGTAAGGCAGACAGGCTCTGCGATCCTCAGTTGCCCGTCAGGCCTGCCCCGGGCATCGCATGCAGGAGGGCCGGGCCCAGAGACACCCCCTGGCCGCTGCTACTGCCTCCACCGCCGCCCCTAACACTATGGAAAGGTCAACGTTTTGCCAGAAAATCAAAGTCAGAAGCCACCTAGGTGCTCTCAGAAAAGATTTTCTTCAAATATTGACAATAGATCACTCTGGAAATTCATGTCAATGGTAGCTGCCATCTGAAGGAGAGGAAAGAGGGAGGGAGTGAGGCGGGGTGCCCCAGCCGCCCACTGCCCCTGTTGCTGCAGTGGTCCTCAGACCTCCCGGGAGTGTTCCCTCGGTGCCCGCCCGGCACCCTGGTGGCATGAGGCCATCGCGCCGAGCCAAAGGCCGACTGCAGACGCACAGGGCCTGGGGTCCCTGGCTCCGCACCCTCTCAGGCCCCAGGTCCCGATTCCCAGCCCCTCCGGGGCAGACCCCTGCCCAACAGTCCCCTCTGGGACCCCCGACTCACCGCTTCCCGGCGCCTTCGCTCCTGCTCCCGCTTCCGGGCCAGCTCCCTCTGCTGGTCCAGCATGGACTGGGGCTGGGAGGTCTGGGCCTGGGGGGCGGCGGCGGCGGCCACGGCTGCGGCCTGCTGCTGCTGCTGCTGTTGCTGCTGCTGCTGCTCCTGCCGCTGCTGCTGCTGCTGCTCCTGGCGCCGGCGCGCCTCCTCATGGGCCCGCCGGGCCTGCTCCAGTGCGTCCTCGTCCTCCCGGCTCCTGGGCAGAGGAGGGCCGTCAGCTGGGGGCCCCAGTGTGACCCCAGGAGCCCCCCGCGGAGCTCTGCCCACCTCATGCGCTCCTGCCGCAGCCGCTCCTTCTCCTTCTCCGCGTGCTCCGCCTGGGCCTTCAGGGCCTTCTCGCGCTCCTCCTTCTCGCGAGCGGCGCGGCGGAACTGCTCGAAGCTGTCGCTCGACGACTTGGCTGTGGAGGACGGGGTGGTTGGATGCTTCTGCACCAGGCTGGCCCAGGAGCCCATGTTCTTGATTTTCAGGTCCTGTGGGCAGAGAGGCCAGGGGAAGGTGAGGCCAGGGACAGAGAGGCCAGTGGCAGGTGAGGGCAGGGGCAGGTGAGGCCAGTGGCAGGTGAGGGCAGGGGCAGGTGAGGCCAGGGACAGAGAGGCCAGGGGCAGGTGAGGCCAGGGGCAGAGAGGCCAGGGGCAGGTGAGGACTGCTGTGCCTGAAGGCAATGGCAGCAGGGGCGCCAGCAGGGTGCAGTCCCGGGACGAGGGGCAGCAGGGACACCCACAGGCCTGCCGTCCCTACCTTTTTGGGTGCAACTGGAGTTTTCGGCTCCTGTTTCTGTTTATCCTTGTCGGGGGCCCCCGGCGGGGCGGCGTTCTGCTCAGGGGGCCGGATCACAGGCCTCCCGACGTCCACGGGCTTCATCTCTGGCCCTGGAACACAAAGAGCCCGTGGGCCTGGGCCACTGGCCCCACAGCAAGCTCACGCCCAACATGGGCCGGCCCGAGTCCCCGTGGTGGGCGGGGAGGGCACTCACGCTGGGGCAGGTGGACGGGGGCCTTGATGCTCTCCGAGTGCTTGGGGGGCTCCGGCCGCAGCGAGGGGCTGAAGGGCTCGCTGCGGATGATGGGTGAGTGGATCTTCTCCTCCTTCACCACCACCAGGGGCTGGGGCTGGACCACGGAGGCCGCACGCAGCTCCTGGGACGGCACAGGCACGGCGGCCGGTGAGGTCGGCAGGCACCCCCTGGCCGGCCCTGGGGCCTTGGCCCAGCCCTGGCCTTACCTGCTTCTTAGGCTGCACGCTTTGCTGGGGCGGAGACTGGCGGGTCAGGTTCTGGAATTGCGGCATCTGGGGGGAGGGCATCATAAGCGGGGAGGGGGCTTCTCGGAGATGACCTAGGACAGGGGATAAGAAGTGTGTCATGGGCTGGAGGGCTACTTGGGCCCTGAGAGAATCGTAACGGGGGAAGGACAGGCTGGAAGCTGCAACAGCACGCGGCCGGCCAGGCTCAAAAGGGTGGAGACCCACAGACGCCACCGAGCCTGGCAAGGACAAGCCCCTGCTCCGGGGGCTGCGTGCCCCCAGTGCTCTGTGCCTGGGGCCCATGCCCGCCCAGTCACATCCCGAGCTCAGCATGCAGCAGGCTCCCGGGAGCCGTGCGGCGCCAGTCCCGGCGCTGCAGTCTCCCGTGTGTCAGACCTACGAAGCTTTGAGAAACACAGACTGGACACATCGGGCCTGAGTGCAGCCGGGTATCCGCACTTTCCAGCCCCGCAAAGCTCAACCCAGGTGCCCGCCTCTGTCCCCACGTGGCCTGGGGAATCTCAGGACCCCTCCCCCAGTCCTGCTCCCTAACTTAGCTTGCCTGCCCCGAGGGGGAAGGAAGCCTGGAGCTGGGGTTCCTTTAGGAAACTGGCTGGCCTGCCACCCGCGGCCAACCCAAGGCTGGGCGGGATCCAGGCCGCCACGGGCGTGAGCATGCGGCGCCGGTACTGCTGGCCCTTGGGAAGGGAACAACCCACGCTGAAATCTAACTCCTCAGCCTTGGCGGTGAGCAAGCAGAGCCCTGGAGGAGCCAAGTCCTGCTGCCCTACACACGGACACCCTCTGCTTGAACCCCTGCAGGAGGGGGGCCTCGGGTAAACCAGCCACAGGAGAAAACCGGCTCTCTGCAACGCCCCTGCCACCTGGTCGGGTCCCGAGCCTCACACTGGACAACCTAACCTGGCTCCATGTGCTAGCCCTTCCACCGACGACCTCCAGAGCCTGCTTCCGAGCCACTGCCTGCCAGCATGGGCACCCCAGGGTCTCCCGGGGCCCCACCGGCCAGAGGTACCTATAGCAGACTGTAACGCCCCAGGGTGGTCGACCCTCTTGCCTCTCTCTAGAGCCAGGGCCCGCCCCTGACCCCAGGAGGCACCACAGCTACTTGGGGCCCCTGTAGCTGAGTTTGCTGGCCTCAACATTTCCTTCGACCCCAACACATCAGGACTGCTGTGGATACTGCCATCCCTAGTTGGTGCTGGGAGGCTTTGGGTCTGGCCCCCAGTGATTCACAGGCACGCGGCTGGGACAGCCTCCAGCCTACGGCAGTGCCCTCAGGAACACCTGCTGGGGCTGACCCGGGCAACGGCGCGTGTGCCGTTGGCCCTGTGGTCTACAGGAACCTCCACCTATTGGTGGCTTTAGAGGGGACGCCCAGGGGTTGAGGGGTGGCGCCTGAAAGCTGGCTGGGTGCCCAGGGATGCACGCTGAGCTTCCCCAGGAGTCTGACAATGTGGCTTTTGGCCCAAAGTCCCCAGTAAGGCTCTAATCCACGCCACTCCCTGTGCCCTGGTCTCAAAACTAGCGTGAGCTGGGGTGGGGGTCCAGGGACTCAAAGCAGAGTGGGCCAGAGGGGATCTGCCCTGGCCCCTGTGGGCCCTACGCACACCCACTGCTGGCTCCCCTCTGAAGGCCCCGCACCCCTGTCCCTTCCCTTCCCTGCAGGGACGCCCAGGTGAAGCACGCTGCCTGCCCACGCCAGCCTTTCCCGGGGAGGACAGAGAGCCACTCCGGGCTCAGAGCACGCGGCACCACGCTGCTCGCGCAAGGTTCAGAGGTAGTCGCTGCTTTGCTGCTCGGTTTGCAGGCAGCCCCCGGTGCACCCCCAAGATGACCGCACAGTCTACACTGCTGAGTCCGGGAGCCTGTACCCTGGCCCTGGAGCACCACCATGCCACTGGCATCCACTGCACTGTCCCCCTGCCAGGGCCAGCCAGGAAACTCTGGTTACTGACGCTTAACACACTGATTACCACACTAGAGAAGAGATTTTCTCCTTGGGGCCACTGTGTTTTATAACGAAAATAGAACAAAACTTCGGAAAGAAAGCGATCCTTTCCAATTCAATGAAAACTTTGTTGTTTTTTATTGTTTCCTGTGTGTGAGTTACAGGCAACTTGAAAACATAATTCACACAGCTCCCAAGGCGAAAAGACAAGTGAGTTACGTACGCTTCACAAGGACCTGGTCTCAAAACTATTGTGAGTTAAACACTCCTGCCCAGTGCTCCCCACCATGGCGCCCTAGATTTGCCAAGTGTGTCTTGCAAGGCCAAGAGCAGGAACGCCAGGATCCCCCAGGGCCCTACAGGCTGGAGGGACCCATCGTCATGGGCCTGGAGCAGACCACAAGGCCCCAGTCCTGCCCCAGCTCACTCCCCACCCTGCTTAGTCAACTCACTCCTATGCTCACCTCCTCCTCCAGGGAGGCTGCCCCACAGCTCCAGAGGCGGATCAGATGCCTTCCCTGGGCTCTGGCTTCCCCAGCTAGCAGGGAACATGGTGTGCTGTCACATTCCTGACTAAATTCTAAGAGAAGGGCCTACAGGGGCCTTGTTCTGGGTGATCTCAGCTTGCAAGCAAGACAGATACCCGACAGAGACACTGCAGGAAGCACCGACGCCCCCTTTCCAGGCACCCCTCCAGCTAGCCAGAGCCTTTGAGGCTCGACTCTCAGCCGCTGCGGTCTGAAGTACAAGCCAACCCTTCTGGCGTCTCCAGAACAGAACTCTGGGTCTCCCTGGAGTCCCGGAGTAGGGCCACTTACCTGTGGAGTAGGGGTCTGACTTGTGGTGCCGGGGTGACGGGTGATGCTGAATGACTTGCTGAGGCTTGGCGGGCTGCGGCGGGGGCGGCTGCTGGCCGGGGGGCGGGTGTGGGGGCTGCTGGCCCGGGGGCGGCGGGGGCTGCTGGATGTGCGCGGAGAACGGCATGGGCTGCAAGTGCACAGGCCGCGGCGGGGGCTGGTGCTGCTGCTGGGGCGGGGGCTGGGGTGGGGGCGGGGGCGGGGGCTGCTGCTGTAGCTGCTGCACAGAGGGGTGGGGCTGGGGCGGCAGCGGGGGCGGGGGCTGCGACTGCACCTTCACAGAAGGGAGTAGCGGCGTGGGGGGCTGCACCTTCTGCAGCTGCTGCAGGTACAGCTGCATCTGCATGGAGGTGAGGGGTGTGGCAGGCGGCTCTTCGTCCTCCAGCAGCACCTGTGGGGGCTGGGCCATGGGGGGCTGTGGGAGCATGGGGGGCTGGGCCAGGGCGGGCGACACGGCTGGGGGCCGGGCGGGCTTGGGGGGCAGGGCGGCTGCTCGGTTGCTGGGCCGTGAAGGCTGCTGGGGCAGCGCGTTGTGCAAAGCTGGAAGGACACGAGACCAGGCGGTGAGGCCTGAAGGACACGGCTCCAGCCCGGCCTCTGTCCCATCCTGACCTCGCCTGCACTCTAGTGGCCTCCCCCCAACCGGTCAGCTCTCCCCACTCTCCGAGACCCCGGACTCCGGAACAGAGACAGCTTCCAGTGGGGGCGCGGGGTCAGGCTCCCCCCAGTCTGGCTGGCGTCTTCCCGACTTATGGTCGGTCTCCCTCTCTCCTCGCCACCCTGCAGGTCTCCATGTGGAGCTCCGTCACCCACTCGCCAAGCCCCTCCCCAGCCCCACAGGCGGGCAAACCCCGTCCCTGTACCACAACCCCCCCACCCCAGGTCCGTGCTGTCCAGGCTGCCCGGGAGGAGTCTCGTCAGGACGAGCTTGTCTCCCCGCCCCTGGCCAGGAGGCGCGGAGGGGCCCCCCTCTTTTCTCAGGTAACACCTAGCCCGGCAGAAAAACCGAACCGGAGCCTTCCGAATCAGCGTGCCAGCGCCGTGTGAGCCGTGTCCCGGGGCATCTCCTTTCGTGTCTGAGATGCCCAGAGCGCCCAGTCACTGCGTGGGAGGACGCCAAGGTAGGGGGACACCCCGGAGGGCTGGGGCTCACCTGGAGGAGAGACGACCGCGTGCTGGTTGAGATGGGGTGGAGTGCTGTGCTCGGGCGGCTGGGGCAGGTGAGGGGCCAGCTCGGGCTGCGGCAGGTGCAGGATGGGCTGGGTGAAGTGGCCGATGGGGTCGAAGACGCTGCCCGGGAGCTGGGGCTCCAGGACGGGCACCTGGGCGGCGATGAAGGGTGGGGGCGAGGACTTCATCGCAGGCGCCGCCTGCTGCGGCAGGGAGGGCGGGGGCGGAGGGGGCGCCTGTGGTGGCTGCTGCGGCTGCGGCTGCGGCTGCTGCTGCTGTGGTGGTGGGGGTGGAGGGGGCGGGGGCTGCTGGGGCGGCGGGGGCGGCGGCTGGGGCACAGGGGCCGGCGCCTGCTGCATCTGCTGATGGTGGTGGTGGTGGTGCTGCAGATGGACAGACAGACACAGACGGGTGGACGTCAGGCCGGCAGGCCCGGCCCAGGCCAGACCCAGGGTCCCTCCGGGGCCCCCGCAGACAGTGGAGGAGGCCCCCGAGTCCACGTACCTTCTTCTGCTCCCTCCCGGGGTGCCCCTTCTTTTTTGACTTCGGAGCCATCTCTGCAGAGGAAAAAAGAAGGTGGTGAGGCTCTGGGAGAGATGGGCATGTGCTGGCGCGGACGCGTTCAGACACTGGGGCCGGTGATGCTGAGAGGGTGGCGGGTTTGGTCCAGGACGAGCCGGTCATCACGGGGAAGGGAAAGACACACGAAGCGTCACCTACCCATTGGCCTGCTGCTTTTCCTTGCAGGGACCGTGCCTGACAGAGCCCCTCCCGCCAAGCTGCACACCGCTGGCGCCTTTAAAGGCCGAGACACGGGCCGGCGCCCAGCGCCTCCCCTACTTGCAGGTCAGACGCTGCTATGGTGACCAGGTGTCTGCCCGCTCTGGACCCCAACCTGCTCTGTTTTGGAACAACCTGTGCTGTTGGAAACCATCGTGGTCGTTTGACAGTCGAGGGAAGTCAGGGTCACCCAGCTATTCTGTTCAACTCGGGCCTCCAACTGCACGGCCCACTGAGGCCTGCTCCTTCCCATCCTCCAAGCGGGAGCAGAGGTGCTCAGTATGGTAGTGATAAGGGTGTTGGCCTGTGGCATGGCCTGGCCACAGAGTCCTGGGAGTGCTGAGGAAAGTGCCAGGCTGGCCTCCCTGGAATGACCGGAAATGAACAGGGCAGGTGCTCACTGCCACGGCCAGCGGAGGAGGACGCTGGCCAGCTTCTCTTAGCTCGGGGGAGATGGACCCCGGAGAAGTCCCTGCCCTGGGACGTAGTCCCCATGCTGCAGAGAGAAGGCAGCACATGCCCCGGCTCCCTGGGAGCCGACAGCCTGGCATCTCAGCTGTGTGTGCTCAAGAGCCAGCCTGCCCACCTGTCCCCACCCCAGAGATTTTATGCTAAGGGACTCCTTCCAGCTGGATGCCCCCATGCCAAACACAGATGATGTGTGAGCCCTAGAGAGGGGAGGTGACCCCGGCCAGTGCTCACAGGCTGGCAGGTGACACAGCTGCCAACCACTGGGTGGAGGCTGGACCCGTGGTCTGGTGCCTCTGGGATTCCTGTCACAGAGAAACACGTCCTGGCTCTGCCTGGCTCCCCCCCGAGTTCCTTGCCAGGGTGCCAGCTCTCGCCGCTGATGTCGAAGGACCCATGCTTTGCCCAAACCAAGGCTACTTCTGCTTGGATCTGCTTCATGAAGGGCCATGCTAAGCTTCCGTGAGTCCACGGCTCCCGGGATGCAGTGGGCCGCCAAAGGGGATGAGAAGGAAGCTCGTGCCCTGCGAGAGCTCAGCACTCCATGCACGAGACAAGACACGGACACAGACCCCAGCAGCTACAGACACACGTCCTCGTACACATGGCAAAGGGCAGCAACTGGGAACGCCTGGGACCCGGGGGCCCAACCCCAACCTGGATGCCAGGATACAGGGCTCTGGACTCCTTGGGGGAGTGGGAAATGTGGTGAGGGGTGCTCTCGTGGGGGAGATGTGCAGAAGGGGACAGTTTGGGCAAAGATGCAGGGTCAGGGCTGGCTGCAGAGGCCCCAGGACCAGGGCCCTGCACGCCGGGGCAGGCGCAGTCCACAGAGCCCTGATGCCTCACAGCAGCTGAGGTCACTGAGCGAGGGGCTCCTCTAGGACAGGCTCCTATCCCAGGATGGCTGGGGCAGCTGCTTGCATGCTGGGCATGCCTTTGAGGGGACCTGGGGACAGGGGAGGGAAGTTAGGGGAAGCAGCAGAGCCACTATGTGAAGAGTGACCAGGAGAAGCCTCAGAGATGTGCCCAGATGCCACTAAGTCACGAGGAGAAGGTTTGGGGGGAGGGGAAGGGTGGACACCAGGGTCAGCGTCTCATGGCCTCGGAGGAAGCCTTGTTTTTTCCCACGATAAAAGAGCGGTGGTTGCTCTGACCCCTCCCTGTCTGCGTGCAGGCCGTGAGGAGAGGCCGCAGGAGAAGGCATGGGGGCAAAGTTCAGTGTGGGGCCTCTGGGGGTTCCAGGCAGTGTGTCCTGGCTGCCTTGGATAGGTCACAGGGAATATCCCAGGGCTCGTCTCCAGGGCCCCTCGGAAACGCTGGGGCACCTGGGCGGTGCAGGCCCGGAGTGGGGAGAGAAGGCAGGAGGCACAGGGCACCTGCAGGAGGTGACTGAGGGGCTGGTGGCAGGGGCTAAGGTGCAGGTTTGAGGGCAGCCCTGTCTGGCTCGCGCGGCCCAAGCTTCGTGTCAGAGTCACCAGTAAGAAGACAAGACGGGAAGTGCACAGCTTCACGACAGACCAGCCCCAAGACACCCCCCACACAAAACTCTCTGGAAAGGGTTACATGAAGATGGCCTCAAGTATGGTGTGATCTTTATTCCATGACAATCTTCAACTCAACACAAATTTCATCTTTACATAGGATGGTAATTGTACAAAGAAATAAAATGTTTTTGTAAAATCTGATTAAAACACTGATTTCTCCCTCCCCAACAACCCCCTCCCCCGGCCCCACTCCGGCAAAGGAGACAGGATGGAGGACAGGGCACAGGGTGAGGGCGGAGGAACGGAGGCCTCACCGGCGCTGACTGGCTCCCCCTCCCCGCCCCCAGCAGGCACCTCCCGCTGCTGCCCACACACACGGGAGGCTGCCAACACGGAGAAGTGAGTGGGCACTGTCCTCTCTGGCTGTTTCTGGGGCACCAAGCACAGGTGACAGTGTAAGTCTAAAGAGCTTTCAAGTTCTATGGGCCCTGGGTGTTCTCTGCCAGATGGGAGCCCGATGGGCAAGAAGGGCAGGACCCCTGGAAAGCCTGTGGTCCTGACCCGCATGCGCGGGGGGTGGGGGTGGGTGGAGGCGGGGGCAGCACACCACCCGACACTGTGGGAATCCAAGCTGTCGTTTGGTCCAAGACAGCCGAATCTTCCCAGAGAGACAATGCCAGAGGCTTCCCAACTGTCCTGTGGGAATCTCTGGGCACGAAGGCTCCCCGCCTGCTCCCGTCCCAGCCAGGCCAAGCTGCACTGGGAACACATTCAGGCGCAGGCCAAAGGGCAGCTCAAAATAGTCTGTTTGGCAAATGGAGCTTGACTGGAAGCTGGACGCCCAGAGAGGATCAGGAGCGGCCCGGGGACTCCTGAGCAGCCTGCGGGGCTCTGGGAGGCTGAGGCTAGACCCTACGGCCAGGGCAGGTGCAGGGCAGTTACGGCGGCCTGAGCCCAAGGGCCCAAGCAGCTGGGAAGAGCTGCCGGGGCGTCCCCAGGCAGGCGGGGAGCCAGCGCCTGAGGCCTGCGATGGCGAGAGCACCTCCCCGGCCTGCTTCCAGCTCCAGAGGACGGACAGGCCTTTAGGAAGTACACAAAAACTACAGTTAAGAAAAAAAAAAAAAGCCCCCAAAATGCAGATGCAGTTCCTTAGGGGACTTTTTAAGCAGGCAGTTTTCTGCTGAGATGCTGGATTTGTGACCAAAAAAGGGCCGATATTTATTTTTAGAGCAAAAAGCCTATTCAGTGCCTGTGGGAGGGCTCGGATGATGTGGCCAACCTCGCCTGCCCCGGCCCCAGGGGCTGTCACCATCCTGGGAGGATGTCCACAGTGGTCATGCCCCTCAGAGACGTGCACTGCACAGCAGGGGCCTGCGACGCCCTCTTATCCACTGGCCCAGACCCTGCCCCTGCCCGGGGTCACGATGACGGCCTAAGGGCCCTCACACTGCTTGACGGAGCAGAGGCCTCCAGCCACCTGGGAGGGACCGGCAGCTGCCTAGGAGGCACTTCCCCTACGTGATTGAGAAGACAACAAAGAAATGGGGAAAATGCCTTCCAGGTAGCTTAAGCTTTTGGAAATGCACAGGAACAACGGAGAGGAAGGACTTCAGGAGGCTGTGGGTCAGCCGAGGCTCAAGCCTCACAGGACACCAGACAGAAGGCACACCGTGGGGACAGCCCCACCGAGCCTTCGAGGCCCACTGGCCTCACTGCCAAAGCACGCACTCCTCATGGAACAGCTCTAGAGGCCAGAGTGTTCTTCCTCACACTGAACGAGAGCTCTCCTGGGCTAATGTCACTGCGCGGTCCGGGAGGGAAGCAGTTAGGGTCCAGAGTCCCAGAAAAAGAGGGAGGGGACGAAGAGAGAGAACACACTTGGGATCGGGCTTTGCACATGAACAGCACCACATGTATACATGTGTGGGGGGATTGTCATCACCCTCCAGGAGATGTCACCCACCCAGAGAACCCCAGGTGACCAGGGCGGCTGGGCAGGACAGCCAGGCAGTCTTTACGCAGGGAGGCTGGCCAGGCAGGCAGCCTTCCCAAGGGCGGGACTAGGCGTGTGCTGCTGGACATGACTAATGCACCCTGGGGAGAGGCCCAGGGCTCTGAGGAATTCCATAACTTGATGGAGTCCTGTCCCTTTCACGGAAGAAAATGGACTTAAGCTATAGCTTGCTGGGAAGGAATCTGGAACTGAAGACCGTTTTATTAAGAGTCCGTGTCCAATGATTAGGCAGGACCTACGTAGAGGGAGAGAGAAACCAGTGTGAGAGAAATGGTGTGGAATGTACCGTTCAAAGTCACAAGAACAGAAGAGCTGCAGACCGAGCCAGCCTCCTGTGCCCCCGTGGCTGACAGGGCATGAGAACGGCGCTGGAGACCAGGAGCCCCACCCCCTGCCTGGCCAGCCTCGGCGGGGACAGACCCACCTTCCCCCCTGAGCAAGGCCACAGATCCAGCACGGGTGGACATCTCCAAAACCGCCCCGAGACCGTTCACGCTGCCAGACAGCACTGCTCTCCCTAACGAGGCCCACGTGTGCCCTCCACGAGCACACGCCGGCACTGCCTCCGCTGCTCCTTGTTAATCTGAGAGGCGTCTTGCCTGTCGCAGCAGCCAGGTGCGGCGAGCCCAGCCGGCGTCCACTGGCTCCGAGCTGACCTCCCTGGGGGCCGTGTCTACTGTACTGCCTCTCTCGGTCTCCGAGGAAGGAGGCGCCGGAGGGTCCCGAGTGCAGACCTCCAGCTGAGAGGGCAAGAGCCGACAGCCCTGCCTCTGCGTTCCTCTAGGCCCCCAACCCCAAGCACAAGCTACGAAGAGAGGAACCAGCGGCATGTGTTGTTGAGGAAAGCAAGAGGAAACAGAAACAGGTCAAGGAAGAAAACTCTTGTCCTTTTTCTTTTCTTTTCCAGGGCATCCAGCATGGCTTCCTGGACCAGGGAGGGGCGCTGGGCTTGTTCCCACCCACGCAGCAGAGCGGATGCCTCTGCCGGAGTCACGGATGCAGCCGACACACCATCCCTGGCCCCCAAGTGTGCGCATGGGAAAAACCCGCCCACCAGTGGCCTCTCGCTCCCGGCCACATTCCACAAGTCTCGCCCCCTCACACGCCCGTGAAGCCCCAGAACCCTCCAGCTGCACCCCTAGAGGGCGTGTGTGGGATGCCACCTGGCTGAGCAGACACACTGGCTACGGCCCCGCCTTCCAGGTCTCCTTCCACTCCCACCCACTCCAGGGGCCTGACCCCTTCTCCCCAGGGCAAGTGCCATGCTCTTGGAACAGGCAAGCAGCAGGCTCCGAGATGTGACTGGGAATGAGCTCCTCAAAGACCCCGGGGGTCGGGGAGCCGGGGCTGGCTGTGCAGTAAGAATAACCATGGCCTCCCGGCTCAAATCTTTCCAAAACATCAAGCATTCCTTTTTCCCCTGGAGCTATTAAGAAACACCCACTCGCTCCGATCCTGGGAAAAGGAAACCAGGAGACTAAAATAGCTGGCTGTGCTCCTGCTGCAACTACACCACCAAGCCAAAGCCAGAGAGGGCCTCCCGTACCTCCTGGCACTGGTCCAGCCCAGGGATCTGGGGGTAGGGGGTTCTCCTGAGAAGGACACAAGCTGTGGGGCCACCCCTGCCCACAGAGACCTGTGGATGGCATTTAGGAAGAGCCAGACACCAACGGGAGGAGTGCAAGCTGGAGGGAAGAGTCTCAGCACCATCCCGCCCCACATCCAGGCAGACTCACCCCCCCAACGCTGGTGACAGCAAAGCTTCAGCTCTGCCCACAGCCCACTGGGAAGCAGTGGGAAGGGGAGAACCATGCCTACCTCCTTCAGCCTACCCAGCCCTGGTCTACAGATGCCCTGGGGTGGGGGGAGGGTGGCATTTGGGCCCCACCTCCACCTGCCCCAATACTGAACCCTCCCTCAGGCAGCACCAGGCTTCAGAGCTGGCACTGCAGCTCAATGAAGACCACAGCCCTACTAGTAACAGCTGGGTTCAGAGAAAATGGCAGGGCTGGCCCCTGACACTGCACGCTGCTGGGGCAGGAGGCAGGGGAACACAGGGGGGCCTGGGACAAAGCTAGGAAAACAGCTTCCTGTCCCGGACCCTCCCATCTGTCTGGGCACCGCCTCCCTGAACTGCAGCCTGGCCCAGAGGACCAGCCCCACACCCCGCCAGCCCACAGCATCCTTGTCTATGGACAGCTGCCAGAAGAGGGGTCCGTGTAGCACCCCCGTCCCAATCTAGTGAATCTGTTCGGTTTCTTTTGGTGATTCATGTCTCAGGGCCATGTTAGCAGAACTGACCCTTAGTATAAGTGACAAAAATAGGGCCTTTCAGGAATTTCGGCTCCAATCCAAATGGAAACACAAGAACAAGGAGGGCAAAACAATTACGCCCCAAAAGACCAAAGAGAAACACCTTCAATACCCACCGCCATCCTGCCCTACTACCCCAAGGCAGAGCAGGTGTAACTGGCCACAACACTGGGGCTGCCTGGCGTCCTGGAACCAGGAGAGCAGCTGCCCCTAGCCCCTGCCAGGGAGCCAGTGTGGGGCGCGGGGGCGCGCTCTGGGACTGGGGGCGCAAAGCCCACGCAGTGGCCCCTCCTGAGGGCAGAAGGGCCCGCGGCCCAGACACAGCTGGCCAGTGCACGCAGAAGGAAAAGCTCCTGTTTGGCGGCTGCCCTGCCGGCCAGGAAGGCGAAGACAAAAGGGAGTCAGGCAAACCCCAGGTGGGCAGGGAGCCCACCAAGAGGGAGAGAAGAGGGAGAGGCCAGAGCTCGGGCAGCCCAGCGCGGCCAGGGATGAACTGCCAGAGCCGGGAGCCTGGGAGCCGGCGGCTGCAAGTGGGCTCCAAGACTGTAAATCTTGTCCTCCTTCCCGCCAGAACAGCTGTTCCCAGGACTCTCAGATTACTTGTTGCACAATCTTCCCACTTTCTTTGGGGGGGTGGGTGGGGGATGAAAAAACAAAAAAATCTCAGCAGCAGCACAGAGCTGCTGGAAATGCTGTCACAGCCACCCCCACAGCAGCAGGCGGCGGCGGGAGGGGTTGCAGGGCACTCACTCAGGGAGCCAGGAGTATTCCCACCTAAAGCAGAAGAACCCGGGAGAGGGACGTGGGGGCCAGGGACAAAGGCCACAACCACAGCACCCTAAGGTGCCCTGCCAGAACCAAAGTAGTCCCGTCACAGCCAATTTCAGCTTTTGAGGTTTTATTTTGGTCACTAGGATCCTTAGATGGAAAGGGTGCGAAGCCCCTGGTAGCAGCAGTCTGCTAGAAAACGCAGGAGGTGCAAAAATCCTGAGGCCTGGCTGAAAGGGAAAGTCACTGGCTACCAGGAATGCTAATTGGACCCAAGAATACTGGCCATTATTCACCCCGCTGAGAGCAGGAACCCCTCCTGGGAAGCCAAGGGTTGCAGCGCCCCCTGCTGGGCGATGCGCAGAAAGCAACGTGGGTGGGTTAGAGAGACAGGAAAGGGCAAGGTCGGTGAGCGAGCGCCACTGGCCCAGCGAGCCACCCAGGGCATTTTCTGCACACGTTCATTCTAGAGATACTCCTTTGGGCTCATCAAAACTGAGGTAGTCCAGGGCATCTGGAGTCCCGGAGAATCCCTCAACCTCAGCACTCACTCTGGTGAGACCCCACACTCACTCGGGAAGCAGAAGGCACTCGGCTGTCCAAGGCCCAGAGGCACCTGTCCCCACCTGTCCTATGGCACATGCACCTCGGAGCAAGGTGGCTCTTCCCAGCTGCTGTGAGAGATCCTGAACCTTCCTTGGCACGATCAGAGTGTTATTTACATGCGCTAGTTACGTGGGGGTTATTTAGCACTTATTGCCAGTTAAAATAAAATTCCGGAGGCGGGATAAGGTCCATGGAAGAGCACACGAGGAATGTTTGCCACCCAAGCACACATGTCCTGCTGTGGATCTGCACGCCCCCACCTGCCAGGGGAGCGCATCCTCGACCCCAGGGCTGGCTCTCGGTGGGCAGCAGCACACCGGCTCAGCTGACGGAGCTGCACCTGCTTAGCGGCTGCCTGCAAACCCTAGACACAGACTGTCCGCTCCGCCTCGCACTGGGCGCCAGGGCTCCTGGGTGCTGTGGCTCCTCCCCATCCTCCCCTCCACGCAGGTCCCAATGCTCCTGAGATCCTGAGAATACCGAGGGAAGTGTACATCTGGAGGAAAGCGGCTACTCCCCACCGCCCCAGCTCTGCCACCTGCTCCCACCTCCTACTCTGAGGGATGAGGCTGCTGCTCAGAAGGTGGGCTCTGAGGAGACGCCAGGGGGCAGGTGTGCGGGCCCACAGAGAGAAGGGGCTGTTAGAAGTGCGGGACACACGTGTCCAGGTGCGTGCAGAGTTAAAGCAAAGTCGGGAACAGCCAACAGCAGTGTTCACGCTCTTGGGGCCAAGCAGGCAGCGTTCAGAGCCCCGGCTGTGCCACCTGCCGGCTGCAGGTGGCTCCACACCCGCCACAGCCCAGTAAAGCTCCTCCCCTGGAATAGCTGCGCTGCATGACGATGACCCAGGGAAGGCAGGGTGGCAAAGTTTCCTCTGAGGCAGAAGGCTGGGTGGGGTCACACCAAAATCAATGGCACCATCTGGACCCCACCCCCACCCTGGGCTCTGCAGTGCCAACGTCCTTGGCCACTCATGCCCCCGATCCAGGCCTGAGTGGGCACAGTGTGAGGCCCACGTGGAGGGATCGGACACTGCTGCATGGGGCACATGGCGTCCCGCCACCCTGGGAGAAGTTAACACGGCAGATGGACAGGTAGAGGGGCCCAGCAAGTTCTCATGACCGCCGTCTCTGGCTCTTTAGCAGCAAGGACACAGGACTGGGCTGGTGCCAGGCACGGGTGCGTGGAATTCGACAAGATGCTTAAGACACGAGTCACCTAACCTGTTTCGGAGTCTTCGCTGTCAGAGGAGCTGGACTCACTGGAGCTCTCCGACTCTGAGGACGAGAAGCCCTTCATCTTAGAGGAGCCAGCAATCACCTCGACCTTCTCAGCTGCAATCCAAGCAACAGGAAGCGCGTCAGGCAGGGCCCTGATCCAGGAAAGGGTGCTGTAGCCACAAGCACACCCCACCCACTGGGAGGAAGGACCAGTGGGAAGCCTGTGCCCCGTGAGCTGGCAAGGGCTGCTCCTAACCACCAGCTGCCATCGTCCCAGGACCTGAGCGGCCCCTTGGTTCCCACTGGTAGCCTGCTGCACACTTGCCAAAGACTCGGCTTTTGTTGGAAACTCAAAGCCCCTCCAACCTCTTAGAATATCCTTTGGGAGGTTTATCAAGGATCCAGAGACCAGGCAAGGAGTAATTTCCTAACAATTTCTGCTGGGCTTGGGTTTTCTCAGTTGCTTTTCTGGGAGGGACTGAAGAGGACTCAAAGGGAACAGGACACCCAGACACAGAGCAGGGCAAGGAGAGAGCCCCAGGGCTCTCCTGGCATGGCTGTCCTGTGCCTGAATGTCACACCATGGGCTACACCCCAGGGAGAGGCCCAAGGATCCCAGAAACCAGTCTGAGCTGGGATCAAGGGCCCTGTGCAATACCCTGACACAGATCCTAAGTCCCAGAGTCCCAAGAGGAAAGCTGTGAGCCAAGGTGGGGCATACATAACATGCAAGAGATGCTTGGAAGAGTGTCCCCAGAAAGGGTGCCACGCCAAGTCGTCCTTGCTAGAGAAGAACAGAAGCTGGCTCAGTCCTAAGACACCGCATCAGCACACAGGCCCCTAAGGCACGGCAGACACGCCTTTCCCATGGCCACGTGCTGCAGACCATGCCCCACAGAGGCAGGAGGTGGTGTTCAAGGGCAGACTCGGCACCAGTCAGGCGGGATGAAAGCAGCTGCTGCTTAAAACAAGGGTCAAGACACCGAGCTTTGGGTGGATTCAGACAGCCTCCAGCCAGAGAGGCCTGGAAAGGCACTTGATAGCCCAGGGCTGGGTGTGACCTTCCAGAGGTTTCTATGCCAAAGACACAGATTTTATAATCAGAACAAAAGCCTGCCGAGGTAAAGTGCTGAATGAGGAAGGGGCAGTTAACTGAGGGTGCCCGTGGCAAGGACCCCAAAGCCCACAGGGCCCAAGTGCACCTTGGGGTTTCCTTTTCTTCCGCAAACAGGAGGTGACATAGCGCTCCAGCTCCCGCAGCGTGGACGGCTTCAGGGTCTCAAAATCAATCTCGATCTCGTCGGGGTTGGAGTTCTTGAGTGAGGGCTCCCGAGACTGGATGATGTGCACCACGCGGCCCAGCTTCTCGCCGGGGAGCTTGTTGATGTCCAGGCTGAGCTGCCGCTTCTCCTCGTACGACATGGGCTTGCACTTGTCCTCCTCCTCCGACTCGTACGCGGGAGGCGGCTTGTTCTTCGTGGGCGCCGGCTCCTTCTTGCTACGAAGGGACGATGCAGACACTGTCAAGAGTGTGTCCCCTGAGGAAGCCGGGCACTCATTCCTCTATGTGAGTGGCGGGCTTCCCACAGCCCACCGGCCGGCCTTCACAGCCAACGGGACGCGGGCAACTCAACCCCTGGGAGCACCCAGTGGAGAGTGAAAGCAAACCAGGACCCAGGGGCTGCTGGAGGTGGCTGTGCTGGGGCCCCGAGCCTGCATCTGTACCGCGCTACCCTCCTCCACCAAAGCGCTGAGCCCCAAAGGCTCACCCCACAGACCACGCGGAGCTGCGTCCCACACCTGGGCGCAGCCAGCCCCCACTGTGCTAGCTGATGCTGCAGAGGGCCAGCCTCTACCACGTGGGCAGGACGGGCCAGAGGGCCTGAATGGCCTCAAAGCAGCCCCTGGAAGAAGGGTCCCCACCCAGGGCAAACTCGGGGGCACAGACCTCGCATTGCTGTTGCTGTTGTTATTTTTCTTTGTCTTTTTTGGGGGAAGTTCCTTGGCTTTGCTTTTCTTATTCTCTTCCACTTCCTCTTTCTTTTTGTGCTTTTCTTTTTTCTTTTCCTTCTTGTCTTTCTCCTTTTTCTTTGGTTTGTTCTGCTGGGGCTGCGAGAGGGCTGCGAGCTGCTCGTGCACGGCCTTGAGCTGCAGACCAGACAGGCGAGACACACACCGGGGCTGAGCCCTCCTTCCCAACACACGGGCCCAGGCGCCTGCTCTCAGCCACAGGGGATGGCGTGAAGCCCCGGGGAGTCAGGGTGTGGGCATGGGGGAGGCAGAGGGAGGGCTGGCCCTCGGCTCTGGGACCCACCGTGGTAACCAGATTCCCCAAGTGCCCGCGCCTATCTAGCGCCTGAACCCCAAGGATTGCTGGTGTGCTCCGTGCCAGAGGAGCTGCTCAAGCCAACAGACGCTAAGCCCCATGGCCACCCTGGTCCCAGGAGGAGGGTCCCTAAGAGGCTGGGCAAAACATACAGGTACACTGGGCACTAACAGCTTCATGACTGGCTTGCAGGGAGAGAAACCACCAGGCAGGCCCAGGAGAGACAGACATCCTAGCTCGACCTCCTCCTTCCAGACGTTGGAAGGATCCAGAAGTCTCACCTCTACCCATCAAACAGCTGAGCACCCCCAACCTCGACACATACAGTGCACACATGTGTAGGATCAACATGCACTTGACCTAGCCGAGGGGAAGAGGCCACGAGGTGATCAGCCAAAATTCTGCATCTGTGGGACCTCAGAGCCAAGAACACCCCTCGGTATGCTCTGGGGAGACCGCCCTGGTCACGGACTCCAGGGGCCGGGAACGGAGCCGCGGGTGCCCTCACCTGCTCCTGGAGCTCTGCCAGCCGCTGGGCTCGCTCCTCCTCGGAGTCGTCTGTGGAACTGTCGCTGTCCGAGGAGCTGTCGCTGCTGCTGTCGCTGGAGGAGGGTGGGGCCACAACCTTGGTGGGAGGGGGCACCGCCGGGGAGGACACAGCCACCACTGGCTCCTCAGGCTCGTCGGGCATCTTGGCAAAGCGCATTTCGAACACATCCTGGGAAGGGAAAGTCATGCCCGTGAGGGCTGCTGCGTGCCCAGGCCGTGACCCAGCATCACCTGGCCGCACCAGCCGCTGGGGCCAGCTCAACAGGAGGCGATCAGAGGGCCAAGAGGGCTTCCAGCACGGTAACCCCCCCACTGCCACTAACACGCGGTCAAGGGGCTGGCTGAGGCCCTCTAACGGCTCTTTTAATACTCTTCTCTCAACTCTCACTTTGAAGAGCAAGGTGGTCCTGAGGTGGCTGGACGCTCACCTCCTGGGGAACACAGCCCGTGTAAGCACATGTGACCCAGGCCACAGAAGGCACTAGCCACTGAAGATGTCACTCTGGGGGTGGCCAACAGATGGCGGGCCAAGGGCATTCCCAGAAAAGAGTCCCTTAAGGCCCCTGCCAGGTCCGTGACTCCCAGGCAGGTGGCCCTGCCTGCCTTTGGTTGGCACTCCAGCGGCAGCGGGCAGGCTCTCTGATTTTAGAGGGCCTTCCAGGCAGAGGGACTAGCATGTGAAAAGGCCCCAAGGTAGGAGCGTAGGTGGCACAGAGCACACAACCACTCAGGGGCCAGGCCCCGCAGCACTGGGCACGTGCCTGAGTCAGCCTCCCCAAGCAGTGCTGAGCTGCTGGCTCAAGTGTCTCTGGGGCGTGCAGGGCAAGGGCAGCAGGCGTGGGGGCGCTGAAGACAGGCTAAGGGAGGGCGCCGCCTTGTGCAGTGCAAGCAATCTAAGCAGAGGCCACGGGCGCTCACTCCAGGAGACCGAGACCCTTCCACTCTAACACCCAGGAATCGAACGGAACCATGTGGGGTCACCGAGCTCAGTGACAGCAGCCCTATCTGCACACACAGGGCCTGGCTATGCATTGCCCACCAGCTGGCAAGTCCTGCCCTTCCCTGGGGGCTCTGTGATCAAGCCAGTGATGACCCAAGAGGACAGGGCCGGCTTCCCAGCAGAATTCTGGGACCTGCTCAAAGCCTGGAATAAACTGATCAACGGGGCAACTGACGAAACGAAAGGGCTCTTCCGCCAAGTGTGCGTCGACACTTCAGAGAGCAGCATGTGGGGTCAAGAGCCAAGACTGCTGTTTCGTTCGGCCCTGGGCGCACCCGACAGAGCAGCCCCAGAGCCCTTCCTGATGGCCCAGCAGACTGAGCCCGAGGTTCCTGTCCCAGCAGCAGGGGAGGGTGCCCCCCCTCCCCCCCGCGGCAGGCGTCCCACACAGCTGCGGTGCTGCCCCCGTCCCCAGACCACCCGGCGTGTGGCGTCCTCCTCCCAGCAGGGCGCCTGCCTGCGTTCTGTTAAGCGGTTTTGCTGACCAAGTACTGGAAGGGCAGTAACGTTCTCATCTCTTCAGAAATAAATCCTTGAGCAGGTCTGAGGGGAGGAGGGAGACACATGGGAGGGGACGACTAGACACTATCACCCTGCCGTCAGGGAGAGGGGCCCAGGCAGGGAAAGGCAGCGGCTTCCCACCAGGGGGGAGGCCCCCAGTTGGGGCAAGCAGGCAAGATCCCAGTGCTGTGGCACCTGGCCACGTGCCGAGAGAGCAGTGCCCCTCCCGTGGCGTGGGTAGGCGTGGGTAGGCTCAGGGCCCCGAATGACTCCAAGGGTCAGTGGGTTAGAGAAGCGAATGTGCCTCAGAGTGACAGGACACCATGAAGGCAGGTGACCACCTCTCCTTCCCCCGTCAGAGGGAAGGCCCTTTATCAAGGGGGAGCTGCTTCAGGCCACTGTGTCTGTAAGCTTGGTCCCCCCAGTCCCCCGCCCAGCCTGGAGACATCGCTGCCCTTGCTATGAGGCAAGGCACTCCTCCCAGGCTGTGGCTGCTGTGGAAATGGGGAGTTGGGGCAGGTGGCACTTGCTCTGAGGCCTCCTATTCCCTAGGTGTTCGTGGCCTTGGCCTTCCTAAGGCCCCCAAACCAAACAGCATAGAGTACAAGACAAGATGCCAGTGGGATGAGACGCCAGCGTCAGGTGGGGCTGGGGCTGCTGGTGTCCAGCTGTATGAGCCCATCACCCTCCTGTCTGTAGGATGTGAGAACCCTGCTCTAGCCCACAGAGGGGTATATCTCGGGACACTCGTGTCTGCGGGCCCAGGGCCGCTGCAGGAAAACCTTGCTGGGTGGCTCCAACAGTCACATGTCTGCCCCAAGCACCAGTTTTGTGGTCAACAGGAATGATGAACTCCCGTCTCCAGGAGCTCAGTCTGCAGGCAACAGAAAGCCACACGAGTGCGAGGACAATGGTAACTGTGTTCGGTGCTAAGGTGGAGACAGCCGGGGTCAGAATGAAACAGCAACTGGAAAGGGTGTGCTGAAACCTAAGCACGAAAGGTGGACACCAGACCAAGTGCCAGAAGACAAACGCTGCTGCAGAGACCAGGGAGGACGGCACCAAGAAGGGAAAGGACACAGGGGCAAGAACGTGGTCAGGGGGGCCATGGGGCCAGCTAGAGGACAGCGAAGCCCAATAAGATGCACTGAGGCAGACAGCTCCCGAGGGAGGGTGGTGATGGTGAGGAGCAGCGGACCCCAAAAGCCAGAACTCATGAGGGAAAAGGGGCCCAGCTGCCTGGCCAGCACCCTGTCACCTCTAACCCACTCCTCTGGGGGTCACGACGTGCTTTGTGGCCTTGGCACACCCCACTGACTTCAGACAAGCATCTGTTCTTGCTAGGACGGTGAGGAGGGTCACCCACCCCCGGCTACATCAGATCCGTGGGGGAAGCCTCCCCATTAGTGAAATGAACACGCGCAGGTGCTGGTGACGCCGCTGTGAGGGGAGAACACGACATACACCACGACCTCAAAAGCTTCCCACCTCTGGGATTTAACACAGATCCCAACATACTTTTCAGTTTACTTTTCTTTGCTGTAAAAACAATTATACACCTCCTCGAATTTGCCACGGCGTGGTGGCTCACGCCTCCAATCCTAGCACTCTGGGAGGCCAAGGCAGGCAGATTGCTCAAGGTCAGGAGTTTCAAACCAGCCTGAGCAAGAGCGAGACCCCATCTCTACTATAAATAGAAAGAAATTAATTGGCCAACTAATATATAGAGAAAAAATGAGCCGGGCGTGGTGGCGCATGCCTGTAGTCCCAGCTACTCGGGAGGCTGAGGCAGGAGGATCGCTTGAGCCCAGGAGATTGAGGTTGCTGTGAACTAGGCTGACGCCACGGCACTCACTCTAGCCTGGGCAACAGAGTGAGACTCTGTCTCAAAAAACAAAAAAACCCAAAAAACCCAAAACCAAAAAACTCTGGTCGTCACATGGGTCACAATCACCACCCAACTTCCTAAATACTCTTTAGTTCACAACAGAGCAGAGAGTGAAAGGGGTGCCAGCAGCAGCCCCAGGCCCACCAGTTATGCCAACACTTTTCAGCCCAGGCAACCCTTGGTCTCCCGAGGAAACCCTGACCCCTGAGGCGCCCGGTCATCTTTGTGGCCATAGCTGCCAGGCTTGGAATTTAGAAGCTGGAAGAGGAAAATAGAGTGGATACTTTCCATGCAGCTTTCCAGATAAATCCTACAACTTGAGCACAGCCTAATTAAGAGATCTAATTAAGCAGGTCCCAAAACCTCTTAAAGAGGTGAATGAGGGCTGGGGCTTTGTTCCTCCCTGTCTGTGAGGAAGAGTCTAGCTCTCCAAGCCATGCCAATATAGAAGAGCTCACAGAGAAAGACGAAAAACAAGCCCCAAATGCCATAAACACAACTGCCCGCCAGGAGAGAAGCCTGCTCAGGAACAGCTCCACGCTGACTCTGTCGCCAGAGACACCCCCACCCACCCACTGGTGTGAAGAGACGACCTGCCCTAGGGCAGGCAAAGCAGGCTGGGGGCAGTGGCACCCCCCCCCCTGGGGGCAGGGCCCAGTCTGCTCTAGCCCGGTACCCAGAGCAGTAAGTTTAGGAAGACACCCTTCTGTTACGGAGGCAGACGTCTCAGCGGCTTTGCATGCTACAGGTGAACTCCATGTTTGGTCAGACTCACTCTACCTCCAGACGAAGAAAAATGCCAAAAATAGAGAAAGAAAACAAAAACAAACTTTTAGTGGAAAAGCAGAGATTTGTGAAAAGGAGGTGGCTCCAGGATGTCAGTACAGGACAGGAAGAGAGAGACACAAAAATTAGGAAGAGAGACCTAGAACACAGTAGAGGTGTTTTCTATTTCTTTTCCCTTTCTTATTCATTTTTTAAAAATAAAGTAGCTCAAAATAGCAATCTTTGGTGCTGGTGGACAATGTGCTTTGGTTTAGCTGTTTCTGTGATGGCAAGTACAGGGCACAGGCATCGAGCTGGGCAATGTGGGCAAAGCTACCCCCATCTTCTCAAGAAAGTGGGAGGGAAGAATGGAGGAGCCTAAGGCACAAATCTGAAGTCACCACTGCCACCGCGTGGCCCTGTGTGAAAATTGCATTAAAATTTAAAAAGCCTCAATTTCAAGGGTGGGAAATACACACACAGGGAAGGGGCAGTCGGCACACAAACAGTATGGAATTGCAGAGAGCACAAACCCTCACCTCCAGTGTCACAGAAAATAAAACTAAGAAAGGACCAGTAGAAATAAAAACCTTCCGCGCCTGAGCATGCATTTAAATAACAAGAGCCAGGTCCACAGTAGTAAGAACAAGCCCAACCAACCAACCTCCCAAACGGAGTGGTTTTCTTCTACATCAAGAGAGTGTGAGGACTTGCCCTCTGAACCCAAGGCAGCCCCTAGCCTACAGAGAATGGGGGACACGGTGCCTTAAGCATCGGGGGACACTGTGGTGGTGAGTCTGGGAGAACTCAGGGGACTAGCGGACCTTGGAGGGAGGCGAGCAGCGGGGCTCAGGAGACCTCTCCCTCGCACAGACACCACCAAAGGCGCCGCGAGCCACCACGCTTCTGCCTGGGAAGCACTTCACAGACAGAGCCCCCAGAGCACACAGTGACACTTCGCCAGCAGCAGGTCACCCAGCCACACGGCCTTCCCACGAGCAGAAGCAACCCATGGGGCCCTGGGGAGAAGAGGCAGGCAATTTTTATGATTGTGTATGTATAAATTGAAAGAACTTAAAAAGATTATGGAAGCACTAAATATTGACTGTATTCTCCAAAATTTTTAACCCACCCAATCTTACTAACCAAAAGTAATCACTATTTAATCTTGGGTGTGTATTCTTCCTTTTTTTTTTAAACAAGGGACAGTGCAGCTAGTTCACACATCTTGGCTGCGATCTGTCCCCTTCCCTGCTCACACGTGCACTCCGCGGCGCGCACCCCCTGGGACTGTCAACTTGAAGGGAAGGGCCCACGAACAGCACCCATCGGGGAATCGGGGTCACGGGGAAATGGCCAGCCTGCAGCTAGAAGGCAAACAAAGGGCTGCAAGGCTCTGGAGAAGAAACATTCACAGTCACGCAGTTACTTCAGCTTGTAGCTGCGGCGGCGTCTACTACAGGCACGAGTGTGCCCTGCCAACGGGAGACAGGTCTGTCTTTGATAAGAGACTGACCTCATGCACAGCACACACATGCCCTTCTGGCCAAACCCCAGTGTGGGTGGAGGGTGGGGAGGGGGCTTTCGGTGGGACACACCAAAACACCACCAGCCACCCTGCTTTAATAATAATTAAATACTCTCAACTGAAAGCACGTGCATCAGCCTGAGCTGAGTGCACTTTTCCAAAGCAACGTGGCATCATCCTAAGGAACATGAGAGAAATAAAATCTGCCAGAGCCCATAGAGGTCTGGTCCCACCAGGACGTTAGCCTGCTCTGCTGCACTGCAGGTGGCCACGCCCTCTCCCTGAAGCCTCACCTGGAGCTTGCGGGCCATGGCCACCACCTCATGGTCGGGAGGGTTGTACTTATAGCAGTTGGAGAACATCAATCGGACATCAGCACCAAATTCCTGAGCATCGCGGTACTCACGGGCCTCCAGTTTAGACTGGAAAACAAGATAGGTCCCCGTTAGCCATGACTGTCCATGTTCCAACAGGGAGGTGAGGCTTCTAAGTGCCTCTCTCGGTTTGATCCAGACCCTGGTGGGGGGACAGGCCATACCCCAGTCCTCAGCGTCAGGTGGACGAGGAGATGCTCAACAGCAAGTCTCAGGGCTGGGAACCTCCCTCCTCGCATCCCAGGCTCACCCACCAGGACCTGCCTGTCTAAAGGGCAGGTGGCCACAGACCCCACAGAGGCGGCTGAGGTTCAGCCAGTACTGAAGGAGGGAGGAAAGGGGGCTGGGCCCAGTTCTAATTGGATGGTCAAAGGGACACAGCCCTGTCCCCTACTCTGCCTGTCCCGTATTTGGGAAGACTTACTCTACTACCAGAAGGAGAAAAATGCAAAAAAGTCTTAAAACAAACAAAACCAAAAAGGCCTTAAAACACTACAGTGAACACGCCAGCAGGTACAGCGTGCCTTCCACACGGAGGGTCCTCTCCCACACAGAGCGCCAGGCAAGTCACCAAGCCCTGAACTCTCACAGAGCATCTCCTCTGCGCCAGGAACCAGGGGCCCTGGGCCCTGAGGCCAAAGGGCTCCTGCTTTTCCACAGACGAGGGGGAGGGGCAGCACGCTGTGAGCACGCCCGACTCGGAGCACGTCCCCACAGCCCCAGCAGAGGGCGCCAAAAGGTCTGCACAGACACACAAGTTCCGGAGCCCCAGGCCGGGAGGGGCCTGCGCTGGGCTCCAGGCTCACCTTGATTGTGCTCATGTCCATGGGGTGCTTGATGATGTCACAGTAGTCGTGCAGGCCCAGCGCCTCCACGTCCACGGGCTTGTAGAAGGGCCAGGCGTAGGCGGCGTGCTTCTTGGCAAACATCTCCTTGAGGATGCCGCTGCAGCACTTGAGCTGCTCCGAGACCTTGCTGCTCTTCTCCGGCGCGGGGTGCTGCTGCGAGTCGGGCACGTCCTTCTTTGGGGGTTTCACAGGCCGGCTGCTCTCCCGCCGGGGGCCCACTTTGGTGGCCTTGGGCTCCGGGGGCAGTGAGGGCGGCTCGTGAATGGGGTCCATGGCGGTGGGGGTGGTGGTGTCTGCTTTCCTCTTCACCCCCTTCTTTGTCTGCCAGAAGCACAGGTGAGACAGGCACAGTCAGAGGCGGCACAGCTGCCCCCCAGGGTCACCCCGGAAGCCCGGCCTTGTCGAGGGTCCCAACATTCACGGGACACAGGACCGAGGACAGGGAGATCTTATCCCACCAGTCTGCTCTGCAGCTAGGACGAGGCCTGCCAGCCGCAGAGAAAGTGCACGACCGAGTGTGGGATCTGCTCACTCGGAGGCCACAGGACCTCCTGAAGCCGCTTCCTGCCTAACACCAGGGACCTCCACCCAGTGCCCATGGTGCAGAGGGACACAATTCAAGGAGTATTTGGACGGTTATCTGCAAATATACACAGTCTAAATCAGAGACAGGACGGGACCCTCTGGGAGCTGCGACATGATTACGGGATCTTTGGGTCAGTAGAGCAGCTGCTTCTGGACTGGGATTTAAACATGGCGTGATCCCCCAGAAACACCCACCAGTGCCTGGGAGCCAGGACAGGCTCTACATAAAGCACAGGGCCCCCGTCTCCTGTGAGGCCCCCCACCCCCCCCCCCCGACGGCAGCACCCAGACGCTCACCTTCACGGGCTGCGGGGTGGCCGCGATGATGGGCGGGTGGCTCTGCACGGGCTGGGGGGCCGGAGTGGGCGGGGGTGGCGGCTGGGGGGGCACCGGTGGGGGTGTCTGCAGTGGCTGGGGAGGCACCACTGTCATGACAGGGGTCTGGACAATGAGGTCTGGGGTGACAGCAGGGAAGGGGTGAGGTGTGGCCTGCACAGGTGGAGGATTCTGCTGAGGAGTCTGGGTCTGTGGAGGCGTTGATGCTTGCGTTGTGTTTGGTACCGCGGAGACTCCAGGTTTTGCCGTCCCTGCCGATCATAAAGAGCACAGAGAGTCAGAGGCTGTGCGCACGTCCCAAGGCTGACCCTGCAGGGACAGCACCACACGTGGCAAGCACCCACCCGCTGAAAGACAGAACGCCCTGCACACCCCAGACTTCGCTCTGCCAGACCTGTCCGCCTGCCCCCAGTGCTCAGGGAGCAGCGGCAAACTGCACGTCCCGCTTCCCGGGTGTCCTGGCCGCAACTCCCAGCTTGGGCACAAAGACCCCTTCATGAAGCCAGGAGGCCCCGGGCGGAAGTCACAGGAAACGCATGCTGAGTGTGGACACTGAAACCGTGGACGGGGAGCAGCAAAGGGCTCCTCGGCACCTCCGGCCACAGCTGGCCTCGATTCCAGAAGTGCTGCCTGGCGAGTAAGCACTGCTGGCAGGGGCCGCCCTCACCAAGGCTTCTGGAAACTGGCAGGCCCCGACCTCCCGGGGCCAAAGGGGGCAGCTGGACTGCTGCTGCCCTTTGTGACTGGCTTGGGCTGCCTCCCAGCAGCCGTATAGGCGACCCTGAGCACACCGCGGTCACGTTGCGTGGCCAGCCGGCTCCAAACACAAGCGGCTATGACTAGAGCTCTCACGTGAGCAGGTGCACTGGGGCATCAGGGCCTGGAAATACGGCGGGCTCTGACACCCGGTGCCTCAGAAAGGTAGCCTTCACCTGTGGGCTGTCCTCGGGCAGCACCTCGGTAGCCAGTACCTAGGTAGCTAGTGTGCCCCAAGGAGCAAGGGCAAGGTTCTGCCGAGTGTCCCTGTTCTCCTTCCCCAGGCAGCACACCTGGGCTCCTCCCAGACTGGAACAGAGGAGCTGTCACCATGTCTGCCCAGCATGCAGCCCAAACCCCTGGTCCCAGGGACTGAGGACCCGGCTTCTCGAGTAAGGAAAAGGGATATGACCTGACACGTAAAACAGCCAAGGAAGGGGCGATACGCAATCGAGTCCTCCTTGGTCACCCCTGGGCACTGCAGGGGAGCCAGCCATCCCCCTTCCCACCACCGTTTCAGAGCAAGGTGAGGCTGGGGGAGAGAGAAGCAGCTCACGCCCAGGAAGCAGCCTGCACGCAGCGCCCTTCTGCAGCACAGAGCCCCGAGCTGCGCAGACAGCAGCTGTTAAGAGATTTTCCTAGAGAGAAGCATTTCTTTGAGTGGGCAACTCCTTGCCAGCTGGCCTCTGGAATCCCATGTCAAGGGGGAAGGGGGGGAAACTGAGAGGGATGACATGCAGAGACAGACAAAGAGGGCTTAATTTTGCCTTCAGATGACCAAGAAGGCACACTTCTAACATGCATGCACTGAGATAATTCAAATAACAAACCTCAAGGATTGGGATATTAGTTAAAAATGCTTCTGGCCACCTTGATTTCTTTAAAATGGAAAAAAAAAAAAAAAAAAAAAAAAAAAAAAAAATCTTGTTTTCACTTTCTTTTTAACCTAAGTCCATGTGCCACCCTTAGAAAAGGCAGGGCCACATCATTTCTGCTTGGGGCAGGGTCACAGGAGCCTGTAGGTGGCTCCAACAGTGAAATCACTCCCGCTCCAACCAAACTGCAGCCTACCAGTTAGTAGATGCTGTCCATCCTCCCGCCACTCCCGGTCCTCCCCTGAACTTGGAAAAGGGACAGTGATGGGGGAGAGGTACAGCCAACATACTCGCTACTTCAGCACTCTACCTGCTTCTTTCCTCCCACGTCCTCTTCCTTTTGCCTGGACTATCATGATCTCGGTTTCTTCTGTGGGTAGTTCGTTGATTTTTTGCAAGAAGAGCTTCTCCAGAGCTTCTGCCATTAAGACTATGTCATCTCCAGGCTGGATAAGGAGACACATGGGGTGGAGTCAGAATGCCCTCTGCTCCCACCTCTGTAGACAGGGCACCCCGTGTGCCACCCCCTGCCCCAAAGCCTGAAGCGTCGTACTCAGGGTCCTTCCCCAGTCTGTACCCCAAGGAGCCATGATGGCTAGGCTACCAGGTATCACGGAGGCTTGCGCTCCTACAGGTGTGCTGAGCCTGCACCTGTCTGCCTGCACTTCCCTTTCTCGTCTTTTAAGCTCTGGGCTGTCTGCGAAACCATCCTAAAGCCTTAGGCATCTACCAAGCTCAGCCGATCACTGACCGGGGCTCTCCCTGCATGAGGACCTCCTTTGACACAGTTCGACTTCACTAGAAATTCTTGAATGGCACAGGATTTCTTGCCAGGATACTTTAACAGGGCCCCAACAGTGCTCCCCAATGTACCCCCAAGGCAGCTCACCAGGGCTCTTGGGCACTGTCCATCTCACACTGCTTTAGGGGTCCCCACTCTGTCACTCCGTCCATAACATGCTGTTCCCACTCAGCTAGACTGAGAGCCTGGTGTGCACATTTCGCTCAAACCTAAGTGGTGAGAGCTGAGACTTTAAAAAACACAGTAAACTTCAAGAAACTCACCTACCCATCTCTTCTGGGCCATTTTACCCACTACACCAGCAGAGGTCAAAAGCTGAGTTCTGTATAGTGTCTCCCTCCAGAGTCGTTCTATTTGAAAGGGTTGATTTTAATCACATCTGTGGTCTGAACTGTAAACAAATGATCTGGCTTCATGGCACAGCCGAGCCGAGAGGTTTGGCTACGGGGTTAGGAAGTGACCTTCAGGTCTACGAGTAAGATCAGGGGACACTCGATTCCATGGCCACAGCCACGTCCACAGCTCGAGGAGATCATTGCCCACAGAGCAGCTGAGCTCTGCGCCGGCCCCGTCACACCTCGCTCACGTGGAGGTCTCTGTGTGCGCACACCTCTGCACAGCTATGCTTTAGCAGGCTCTTTCCTGACCACTGGCATCACCCGAATGGACTTTGACGGGAGTCACCACTATCCGCCTCACACCTTCTCTACTAGACATGCTCAGGAACCAAAATCCCAAGGGCGTCAGAAGCACATGCTTCAGGCTAACAAGGACGGCTTGCAAGTTACACGTGGCAGCGCCCTCCCCCCACAGAAGAGACACACCCAGTCGCAGGCACAACTGCAGGTCCCATTACCTCCACCTCCAAGGGTCTCCTCCTGCCAGACTCGAAGCCCAGCAGCTCCCAGCACCCCTGCCCACTGGCTCCTGACATGCCCGCTGCCTCCCCGGGGCAGCTGGACGCTTGCCCCCACCGCTCACCTTGTTATAGATGTAACAATTTGTAAACATAGTGTTGAAGTCCTGGATACATTCCTGAGCATTCCAGTAATAGTTGTTTTCCAAGCGCTTCTTTATTGTTCCCATATCCATAGGTGTTTTAATGATTTTATAGTAATCCTGGAGAGCAGAGAGAGAGCAAAGGGCCAGCGTCACCCGGGCAGCCGCGTGGCACGCACGCTGGGTGGCCGGGCTGCTCCACAGGTAAACCGGCAGGCGGAAGCCCTTCCTCGGCATCGGCGAGGGAGAAAGGCGACTGAGATCGAGTGGACTGGGGAAGGATTCCCAAGTGCTGGCTGGCAATTTGGAGGGAAAACGTACAAGTTAGCTAATTGCCCTATCTCAGATCAGGTTGTCTTTATCAAAATTCATGTTTTTTCTTTTCTTTTCAATGTTGAAATATTTTTTCATTTTTAATAAACAATGTGGAGAACAGATGGCTTTTAAAAACGCAGTTCTTAGCTAGTAAAACAACGCGTGGCGGGTAATACTGTGTCCCTGCCATTTAAGATTTTACAAGTCCATAAAGTGCAAATCCCCACGGCGCCAGTGCTTGAGCCACCCACACCCACCGCACTCCCCGCCTCCTGCCAGGCTGGACAGCCTCAGTCGAGTCCACTGGACTTGCACTTCTTTTACTTACTGAAGCCCAGTCTACCACTAAGGCTTCACTAGTCTCCAGACATGGTGGAGCGACTACCCAGGTTAACTGCCAAATCAAGAATCTGGACAGCTTTCGAAATCCTCAGTTAAAAAATACACATCCAGACCCAACCCTCAAACCTTCCGATCTTCCTCTCCAGGCGCCTCCCAGGAGCCAGATGGCAGGCGCGAACGTCTCGCAGCCCTCAAGGGGGTCGGACTCCGCACTGTCCTCACAACAACTTGCCTCTAACCATGAACCCACTTAAAAATGAAGTTTATTTTTAAGAACTACCAGAGGAATTTGGGGACAGATCAAGCAGGGCCCAGGTTTCCAGGCTAGAGCACCAAAGAGGGCTGCACACGGACAGCAGGCTGGCCCAGCTGGGGCCTCTCAGAACGCTCCATGGAGAACCAATTCTCCGTAGCTATTACCCCTCCTCTGAGGACAAGTGGGGTCCCAGTGGCAGAGAAGCAGGCTGGGGGCAGAGGCTGCTGCGGGGAGGAGAGAGCTGCTCACTGCCCAGAAATGGTGGGCAGTACTGGAAAGGCAAGCATGGGGTACAGGGTTTTGATCTGCTCTGCCAAAAGCCATCCACTTACATGTAAAGGGCTGGCACAGGTCACAGCCCTGCCCTGGTAAGGGCTTAAGTACACACCCAAGTGCCCAAAGCAGGTGGCCAGGAGGGGAGACTGAAACCAGACTTTCTATGCTCTGACCTCCTTTCCCAAGAGAAACAAGTCCAAACACAGCTGCCCAATGGAAATTTAGATTTTATCCTATGGCCAAAGGTCTCTAAGAATGGTGCTGGGAGAAGGTGGGACAAAGGTAGGATACTGGGGGGTGAGGAACTGACAGCTGGGGCAGTGGGGTTAGGGGCATGAAAGGAGGCCAAAATGCAGGTGAATATCTGTAAGGCATCAGAAAACAGAAAAAGAACCAATTTTCTTTTTGCTTGCCCTATTAACATCTCCTGAAGGAGGGGGTCCCTCAGAAAACCAGGCTTTAGCATGACGATGCTCCCAGGCAACCAGCCCCTTTGGGTCAGCCCATACCAGTGCCACGAGAGCACTGTCGCAAAGCAACCTCCCTCCTGGGCTCCTCACTCCCCCGTGTCTGAAAATATCAGGTCAGTGCCACCATTAACCATCCCCTTCTTCCTACATCAGAGCAGCTACGGGCAATGTCAACAGTTATAGGGACAGGTGTGTTCAGAGTGCTGCCCACCCTCGGGGGCCCAGCCTCCACTTCAGAGATTGACCATGAACTCCCAACCCCCTTGGCCTAACTGACCACCCACATGTGTCTGTCCTGCTGGCCAGCACCCAATATTGCCTCGATGTCACCTGTGATGCTGCCTCCTTGGTGACCTCAAGTCCTCCAGCCCCCTTTCCCTTCTCAGCCCTCTAGGCCTCAGTCCCCTCTGCGTTCCGTAACAGACAGACCCTGCGCTCTCCTGGCCCTGACAAAGTTTCCCTTCAAAGCCAAGATTTTTGACATGGTGGCTCTGCATCCTTGCCTTCTCATTCACACTGCGGCAAGTCTGGTTTCTAAAAGCCCTCCTTAAGGCCAACCGGACAGTCAGGTCGGAATCTGCACCTCTGACCTCCCTGGAGCCTCTAATGTGGAAATCTGGGAAACGGCTCTTTTCTGTAGGCCACTGGCCCCACCCCCCCCAAAAGCCTTCGTGCCCCATGGGTTCTACCCCCTCTAACTACCTCTCTGCATTTGCTCCGAGATGTCACTCTCGACTGTGGGCCCTGCCCAGCCCAGCTAGAGACCAACGCGGCCTCTCCCGAGGGACCTGCAAGACACCACCACGCCGACTGTCTCCGCTTCTTGTCTTGGTCAGGGGCCAGTGTGGCCCCTCCTCTGCCTACACCCCTTTCCGGAGGCGGTTCATGACCCAGATCTTCAGTGCCCCTCCCAATTCTCCCTTCCCCCGTGTACATGCGACACGTATCCATGGACAGACGGCACTGGACGGGTGTCAGACATGACTGTCAAGCCAGGAGGGCCACACCGGAGCATTCATTCTTCCTGGGTTGGGACACCTGACAGAGGCTAAGGCTGCCCGCATACAAGCAGTTCCGGGACTTGCAGACCCAGCCTGTGCCGGCAGCTACAATCGCCCAACCCACTCGCCTGGGGGCATAGGGGACTCAGCAAACAGCAGAAGACAGTTTAAAGACAAGGAAGAAGAGGAAAATAAAATAAAATGAAAGCAGGTATTCTGCCTGCTCCCTGTGGCTCAGAGATGTAAGCCGTGCTTGCAGAACTGTCTGCTAGGGACATGGGCAAGGCGGAAACTCCCGAGAAAGGGAAGACGGGTGGGGGTACATAAAAACGCGAGCAAGGGCTCTGCAGACGGGACAGGGAGAGAGGGCACAGCGGCTCCCCAGCTGTGCAGCTACAGCCAAGGCCACCTCTCAATGCGCCCTCTCTCTGGCCAGGGCCACCTCCACGCACTTGCTCCCTGCGAAAGAATCTACGACGTTTCCCTACCCTGCACCCCAAGGGATGCTGCTGCTGCTCGTGACCACTACTGGAGCAAGCCAGTCCCCTTCCAGCACAGTCCGACCAGCCACACCTACTTCTCCTGGGCCTAGCCGGCCACACCGGGAAAGAGAAGGGCACCAGGTTGTCCACGCGCTCTGACTTCAGCTCCACATGGGACTGGAAGGAATCTGTGAGCATCCCATTCCCCCTCGTTTCGACCTTCACACAAGCTTCCCTGGGATCCCAATATCCAAGAAACCAGTTGCTGTTTAAGCCAACTGGCTCCCTCATTCTCCCCCGATTCTTCAAGGCGGGTGAAACCACTCCCTCAAGGGCCCTGCTGGTGCTGGCATCCAGACCTGGGCCCCCGGCTCTCACCACGACTCCAAACACATCTCCGCCCTCCCCTGGAGCCTTAACCAGGAAACTTGCAGGAGACCTGGAGGACCCCTGGGCCCTGCCCAAGCTACTCACAGGGAGGTTTAGCTTGACGGCGTCCACAGGCTGCTGGAAAGGCCACGCAAACTGGTGTTTCCATAGTGTCTTGAGCACCACTCTGAGCAGATATTGCAGTTGGTTGGTCTGCCTCTTGGGCTTGTTGGGGTTGGAGGTTTCCGGGGGCGGAGGGTTGGTGCTGGCTGTGTTGGCTGGCTGGGGTTGGGCCTGGGCCTGCGTTGTAGACATTTGGGAAGTTTCTAGTCCATCCCCCATTACTGGCAGATTTCTCAATCTCGTCCCAGGGCCGCTCTCCGCAGACATGCTAGTGATCCCATCACATTCTTCACTGGGTACTCTACAAGGAAGAGAAGAGTCCCCGTCAGAGCCCAGTGAGCAGACAGGTACCATAATGACAAGTCCCTCTGACTGTGGCCTCCAAGGACTGAGCTTTGCTGTCGGTAACTTGTCAGGTTGGCCAGTGGAGCCACTCCATGCGCTGCCTAAAGGGACCCACTGCCTGCTGCTCTCAGAGACTGGCCATCCGGCAGGGAAGAAAAACGACGCACCAACAGAGGGAAGCAGGGCGTGGAGGTGAGAGCCGACACGGCGCCGGCAGGGGCTCTGGGAGCTCTGGAGTTCCCACGGAAGAAGGTACGATAAAGCCACGTCTCCCAAACCTGCATCTCCCTTTCTCCACCGGAGAGCCTTTTAGGGATGCTGCCCGTGTGTGGGAGAGGAGGATCCGCAGGCCTGCAGATATGATGTTTACACCGAAATTCCTGTTTGCATCTGTGGCTCAGGAAGTATGGAGACTAGCCAGTAATTCCATTTGGAGGGCCAGGCAGGGAGGAGCGGGAAGGCCAGGCCCGCTCAGCCTCGATGGCCCACAGAGCCTACTGCCAAGTGCTCAGGGCAAAGCCTCACACTGAGAACATTTTCTTGGTAACTTAAAAAATGCATGTTTGCTGATGAGAGAAATCCAAACGTTTACTGCTGATAACATAAAAATGAATCTATACTCAACCTACCATTTTATTAACAAGAAGGGGCATCTTCTGTGGCGACACAGGCCCCCACTGCCAGTGCCTGTCTGAGCACCCCTCTGGTGCCCTCCTCACACCTGGATGACCCTGAGGGCTACGCCAGCCCCACAAACCCTGCCACAAGCACCTGTGCACAGGTGACTTTGTGTACTGTCCATTTATTCCAATGGGACAAACTCAAAGGCGTGTAACCGTAGGTCAGGGCTACACACGGCAGAACCGCATCGCCCCACCCCTTACGGTGCTGGAGCCCACGCTCTAATAAACACCCACTCAGACATACACAGGCTGTCTGCATCCTTTCTGCGCACTGCCTGTTTGTGGCAGTTTCCTACCCAGCCGCACGAGGGGCTGTGTAAGCCAGGGGCTGCCTGCATCTGACAAGCACCTTCAGGAATAAAACTAGGAACTAGGGGGGGTAACAAAACCTTTCTGGCGGAGGTAGTCAGACGAGGGCTTATGAGGAAGAGTGGGCAGGCCTTAGGACCACAAGACTGGCAGACAGAGGGGACAATACAGACAGGGCAGACTGGCCGGCTCTGTCATGGCTTTCATTCTGGACGGTACTTCAGTGGGTCAAGAAACAGCTTCATGCCTCGCACACACTAGGCACCCTAGCTGCTGATGAATTACTCTGTAATTCAGTCCAAGTGTAATTTAAACCAAGGCTCCCACAAATCCCCTTGTAAACGCAGTCCTGGCAAATTAGTACATTTTAAAAGCACCAAGAGAGAACTTGCTACAGAAAGCCAACTCTGTAGTCTATGTTTAGGGGCTATGGAGAGCTGGACCTCCCAGCCCGCGGCTGGCAGGCTGACTGCCTGACGCATAGGTCCTGGCCACATGCCCCTACACCACCACACCACGGTCCCGGCTCCAGGGTGAGCCCAAGGGCTGACAAGAAGCTGGAAAAACCAACATCTCCAGACAGACAGCTTCTTCCTTCCCCAATGTTCTGGCTGATGGCAGGCACAGATATCACCTAGAGAACGCATGAAGAGAGCACCGTGCTAAGGAAGAGGCTGCCACAGGGAAGGGACCTGTCTGGAAGTAGCCCAAGGCCATCTAGTACAAGACTCTGAAGGGAGCAGGGTGCAAATCCAACTCAGAAGTCAACAAACAATTGGCAGTGGTGAACACACTGTACAGGTGTCCCTCAATATCCGTGGGGTTGGTTCCAGGACCCTCAAGTCCCTTATATAAAGCAGTGTAGGACACCTGCACATAACCTATGCACATCTATCCTCCTGCGCACCTGAAACCATTTCCGCATATTTCCAATCCGAGGTTGGTTGGATCCCTGGATGTGGAACCAACAGACACCGAGGGCTGACCGCAGACTGAATCTCATGGATTCAGCCTGAGAACGGAATCTTTCTTTGCTCTATTCACCAAATAGATGAGAGATTTAAGATACTTGAGTCTTGTCTATTCAGAGTGGGGATGCGACTCATTTTTAAAAGCCTGAGTAATTCATTAATGCTTGAGCTCACAGGAGAGGACAACACTGTTGAGAGAAACACACTCATGCCACCTACACGAGACATCTGGGGAGCTGAAGGGAGGGCGTGCTAGAGTGGTGCTGGCTAGGTGTGTAAAGGCGGTCTTGTAGCCACTGCTGAACAAGCATTTCATGAGGTCCAACCGTGCCCACGATGCCAGGGTAGAATCAACGATCTGCGCCCTCCTAGGGCATTCCTGAGACGTGACAAGGGGAGGGATAGCAACCCCTGCAAGGGGTATGCCCCACCCAGAGAACAGCCAGCTCAGGAAGAAGGGGTCAGCGAGGGCTTCAGGGACGCCAAGCAACATCCTGGTACCTCTCCCAAACACAGTGCTGGGGATGGAGAAGGGACACCCAAAGCTGAAACCAGACAGACACCTTGTGTCAGCGTGTGATGGGGACTGGAGCTGGTGACAGCTGGGCAGCAGCCCGTGGAGAGCATGCCCCCAGCGACCCAGGAGCACAAGACCAAGATTGGGCGTTTCCCTGAAGCAACTGTTTGATGGCGGGCCACAACACTGCAACAAGCAAGCACAGCAGACTGCAGCGGCTTCTAAAGGCAGGTGTCCAACCGGGTGAGCCTGCTTCAGGCGACCCCTCATCCCCCCTCATCCGTTGGGGAACTAACTGCCAAATGGTCCTGGGAAGAAGTGCCTGAGGAACGAACCAAAGGAGGCCATAGGAACGGAGACGGTGCAAGGGAGGCGTGAGAGGAGGGCCTGGAAACACGATGGCAGCTCAGGCAGGGCTGGAAGCTTGGAAAGCTTGGAAGCTTGGAGCCCAGAGGCCTGAGTAAACGCACCCCAATGAAAGAAGGAAGGAGGCCACACACAGATCCAGGGAGGGGGAGCAGCTAGTGGCAGGAGGTTAGGTGCAAAACCTCACAAAGAGCCTGCACACAGATGAGAAGAGCAGAGAGGGATAAGAGCCCCCAGGCCTCGGCTGAATCACAGGACACAGTGTTGGAGGCGGGTGTCTGGCCAAGAACACTGGCAACCAGAGAGGGGCAACCCCACCTGAGGAACGGTAAGAGGGAGGGCACACCCCGGAGGCAGTGTCTCTGTTCCTGACATGAAAGGCAAGAATGGAAAGACAACAGGATTTGCCCAGAGTTTAGCGGCTAATGGGAAGGACCTCAACCTCAGAGAGGCAAGGTCTACAGCCACCATCAGAGTGCCATGACAGGGCTCGCAGTGGGGCTGTGGGGGGGGGGGTCTGCAAACTGTGTCCCTGAAGCCACTAGGGGGGCACAGACTGGCTTTAGGTGGATGGTGTGTAATCACTCAGGATGAGTTTCCCCTCTTTCCATCTCTTTTTACTCTCATCTGACCTGACGGGGAAAGGCCCAGCCTGAAGCTAGTGTACAAGGTTGTACTCAGAAGGTGTAGGAGACGATTATGTTATCTGGATAGAATCTAACAATGTCATTTTGTTATGGTAGTATTTAATTTTACTGATTTCCATGAATGGCTTTGATATAGTCTCCCCTCAAAATAAGTGTACCATAAACAAAACAGGAAACTGATTCTTTTAAACACACCTTTAGGTACACGAGTACCCAGACAAGACAGGGGCAGGGCAAAGTGTAAGGGCAGCGCAGCCTCCGGGAGAGTGGTGGGACCCCAGGGGGATCGGAGGGAGGGCTGGTCGCAGCAGAGAGGGTCTCTGGCTCCCCGAGGCTCTCCAGAGGTGAGAGCAGGGAGGGGAGAGCCAGGACAGACTGCAGGCTTCACTGAGAAGCCAGGGCCATGGGAGTTTGCAAGGAACCGCTATTAACACAAGCGGGAAAGGAGCCGGAAAGGCAATCACAGGACGGCAGAGCGCTTTTTCCCAAATCCTCCCTGGCTAAGTGGATGGGGGCAGTCACTTCTTTGGCAACCACAAAAACTCGGGGCGGGGGCCAGTGAGACAGAAGACGACAAAGGGAAAAATGACACCAGTCACAAGCCAGCTCACCAGGAACCTTGGGTCCCGCGTAACAGCCTTGGTCCAGGCGCAGAGGGATGTGACAGGACAGTGCCACAGAGAAGGAAATGTGTTCGTGGGGTTTAAGGATGCCTGGAGTCTGCTAAGAGAGGGTTTCAGTACAGAAGAACCAACATATCAAAAGGGACAGGAGGGGACGAGCTTGACATGGCCCCAACACAAGGGAGAATCCCGAGCACTGACGCAGCCGGGAGCTGGGGCGGGGGTGGGGGGGTGCGCAGCGAGCGAGGCTGAAGAACGCCGTGCAGTCTGGTTCCACCGACTTCTCCCAGGGAGCAGCCCAGCAAACACACTGCTACGCTGTGCTGCGAGCACATGCCAGGTGAGCCGCGGCTGTCTCAGGCGAGGGCAGGGGCAGCCCCTCCCTGGAGGGGAGGCTTGGCCTCAGAACAGTAGAGCAGGTCAGCCACAAGGACACAGGCCACCAGGGGGCCAGCTCGTCCCACCAAGTGCCAGCAGTCTCCATAAATTTTCCATTAAGTAATGACATTCTGGAAATCTCTAAGCAATATCCCTGAGGCAAGATGAAGCCAAGGTAACCGATTTCTAGAGCTTCTGGACTGGGCCATGCCTTCTCTCTTTAAAAAGGGACTTGACTTGCAGCAAAGCCAAGGGATGGAGGACTCTTTTGTGTTCTGGGCTGGTGACCGCCTTTCTTCACCTTCATGCCAGGCCCAGACAGGTCTCCGAGCCAAGAAAGTGGAATTTTCTGCCCATAAGATGAAGGGAGATTATTCTACAGAAAACCTGGACTCTTGAAAAGCCTCATGTTGGTACTTTAAACCACTACAAAAGCCAAAGAACCCTGCTGGCTAGCCAGCTAGCTCACATTCGAAGCATAGTAGCAGTTAAATCCTCACAGTGACTCTAACATTGCTTCTGGCCTCATTACTTTACAGATAAGGAAACTGAGGCAGGAAGAAGTAACTTATCCAGGAGGTGGAAAGACCAGGTCCAAGCAGCCAGGACGGTCCCAAACCTGGCACCCGATTCCTAGGCAGTCTCAGTTGGCGTGTGAACCCCGGAAGCCTCCCCTAGCAAGCTCCACACGCATGCTGGAAGGGTCCCACATACACAGTCACAACAGGCTGGCCACCACCCCTAACCAACATAAACTAGGCACAAGATCCACACACTCATAATGACTGAGGTCAAGTCCATGAGGAAAGAAACTGCAGCACGCTGTAGTTCAAATGCAAAAGCAGGACATCTCTAAGTTCCTTTTAGGAGGCTCCAATAACCACCAGTGACAGGTGACACCCATGGCCCCCACAAGGGGAATCTCCAGGTAACGTTAGCTGAGCCACGAGACGCCCAGGACTCCCATCCTGTCCCCACCCTGGGGCCTGCGCAGCACCTACGCCTCGAGGGGCCACCTGAGACGTGGCTATGCCTAGACAGCCTGCATGTTGTGGCTCCGCCTTCCCGTGACCATAGGAAAGCAAAAATCCTCGGGAAACCTCAAGAACCCACTCTTACCAACAGTGAAAAGAAACACAAGGGAAATCGGCCAGAACTTCTAGTCTGTCGGGAGCCGAGGACGAGCGCACCAGTGAGAGTCCCATGCCAGAGCCGGCAACTTTTCTAAGGCACAGGTCTGGCCAGGTCAGCCTCCCTGGTAAGTTCTTCCCACAGCGGTCACCCCTGCCCCACACTGCCCAGGGCGCAAGCATCTATGCTCCGACAACACAGCCACAACCGATCCCCATCGCTGTCACCTTCGCCCTTTCATGTGCTACCTCTGCTGCCAGGACACAGATGGGCGTGCAGACACAGACACACACACGCCCCGGCCCACAGACCCTGCGCTCGTCTGCTCTCTGCTCAGTGGCTTCCAGGGTCAGCCTGTGCACACGCCTGGGAAGCCTCGGGCAGGCCCACCTTCATCTCGCTCCTGTCCTCTTAGCGCACAGCAGGTGTACCCTACAGTGACCACACACAGATCGTCACCCCGGGGCTTCCAGCTCAATCTCAAAGCTCTGGACATGCAAAACACTCTCATGTGGACAATGTGGTGACTGCCGGACTCAGTCACTTGCTCAGGCAATGCGTCCTCACATGCCCGGCCCTGGGACTAGTCAACATGTCACTCTCCAGAGTGGTTACTTAAGCAATACTTGGGGTGAGTACCATGAAGGAGAAGGACAGGGCTGCCAGGTACAGGGAGAGGGGGACTTGCACTGACCTGCAGGGACAGGGCAGCACCCTTGAAGGAGGGACAGAGAACAACAGCGGGAAGGGGAGGAAGAGAGTATCTGTGTCTGTGAGGGGTGGGGTGGGGTGGGGTGGGGCAGGGAGGGATGGGAGAAGACATGGCCAAAAGCAGCACCAGGGCAGGTAGCTTCAGCCACAGTTTTCTACCTAAAAGATTAAAAACGCTGCTCCCTCCCCATCTTCAGGCTGACCTGTGGCCAAGAGGCAGGAGCCACAATTCACTGTGTTAAAAGCTAGCTGAAGGTCAAAGGGCAGGGAAAAAATTTCACCCATTGTTTCCAACCCCTTTAGAAGCCACATGATCCAACTGGATGCTCTATTTTTGGATCTACTCCCAACAGAAAACCTACATGTTTCTCGTTTACAGGAACAAGAACAAGATGAAGCAAAGTTAGGCAGACAGTGCTGTGGTTTCCAACCTGAATGCCAAGGTGCCCAGGATGTCATGGTGAACTCAGAAGGGCACTGCGGGAACTATCAGCACAAGGCAATTAGTAATTTCAACGTCAGACTGCACTATATTCCTCTCATCAGGGTTACAGCTTGCAAAGCTTAGCGTTAAGCGGTTGCTGTAATAAAAAGCAAAGACCATATAAAAGCCAACAGGAACAGGCAACGCATGTGGTGGTGTCCAGCCTGGGTCAAAGGTCTGAGGACGTGCAGTGCCCACAGGCACACACACCCCATCAGAAAGCAACTATTGTTACGTAAGGCTATCGTTATGTAAGAATATTCATCCTTTCAACTCCTGTGTTAAATGTTTTCAAACAGCTAAATGGTTGTTGGGACATTAGTACTCTTTTAGTTGTCTGTACCAAACTACCTAAAAAACAAAATGTTGGGTATTTCCTTTGGCCTGGGAGCACTGAAAAAAAACAGACACTTAAGGATGTTGTGAATCAAGGAAGTTTGGGAACCTCTGGGACAATGAAAATAAAAATGTGAAAGTTTCCCAAGTTCATGCCTGCTTTCAACGATGCTATCATAATATTTAAGTGATTTGAGAAAATTTTAAGGACAGCATTTAAAAGACAACACAACAGTAATGTTATCCAACTTTCAACAGAAAATATTTCGTCTACTTTGACACTAACCTTATTTATTATCTGGCCAATTGTCCAGAAATGTAAAGATACAGAAAACAAAAAATCCAAAACAAGTTCAGAAAGTTGGGACATTTCTCACAGTGATGGAGTTCCCACTTGTAAAGCTGTAGCTGTCCCACCCGACCTCCACTTAGCTCCCATCGTTTGTCGAGCCTCTTAGGGTCTCCAGGACTTCGTTCTGACCCCGCTCTCACAAAGCAGCCTGGCCCCAAGCGAC